GCACTTAACCCCCTAGTGCGTGCGGGTGGATTGTACCCTAACAATAAACACTATTCATTGAAAGGGGTAACGAAATGTGTGTTATTACGCAATGTGATGTTTTTGACGGATTATGTCACTATTCGGTCACTCAATTGCACAAATTCAATTTCATATTTATGGCATTCATGACAGTACACTTTGAACAGATATGAGTAACAGTTTGTGTGAGATGAATTCATTATTCAATTGTTTTGAATTTAAAAATAGCTCAATTCAGTATTCTGTCATTTCTTACACATTGTACACAGAGCATTGCACCGTCATCCCCTTTTTATATATGTTTAATATCCATATTTATATATTTTTGTTTGAAATTTAGTTTATGTATATTACTAAAATATAAAACTACATTTAAATGTGTCCTATATGTTGTATTACCGAACTTGCTTTTAGACAAAATATGTAGTTCCCGGTTTTAGTATCAGCCATAATGTAACTCTTTAAACTTTATAAATACATCGAAAGTAAAACTGATGAGTTTACGTCAAATATAAATAGAAAATATTTCATCTATAAATATTAGGAACGGGCGAAATTATAATAAATACATAAAGAAAAAATCTACAATCCTTAAATCGATCCACAATTCGGCACCTTTCAAAGTGCAACCCTTGCAAAGCCGCCACCAGGTCACTGAGACCCATCTATCTAAACATGCAACATCCTAACCAAACAATTGAACAACGCAGATGCTTGCGCACGTTGCGCCACTCATTCCTTACCCACATTTCCAAATGCCAAGTTTTTACGCAAAAATGGGTTAAAATGCACCTTGCACTGTGAAATCGCCACGTCATCCATCACAATAAGCGCTAATCTCGTGCAGCCGTCCCTTTTTGACACATAGTGTTCTCTCTTTCTTCTTTTCAATTCGACCCAGCGGCTTTCCGGAGCTATTGACACTTTGAAATTAGAATGTCACGCGTGGGTGCGCGAACGCAACCCATTGTCGGTATTAGTATTGTGTGTGGACTCGATTTGCAATCGGCGAATATTGTAAGGGTTAATTATAATAGCTCGCATACGACAAAGGATGTATGCCTATTGTCGTCATCTGCCTACATTTGGCCGGTCGTAGAACCTCGTTATGAAACTAAATCTAAACATTCTAACACTCAAAATCATTTGTGTTATATGCAAAAAAAATAATTGCGAACGAATTATCTAGTATATTAATCGTACTATCCATGATTTAGATAATAGTTTTATCGCGCATATCCAATGATATAGAGTATCATTCGCTTGGTAATAATTTTTAACAATACACTTCTCAATAGCTATGTACTGAGTATTATTGGACTATATAATGTACTGCGGTGACCAACGGGTTAAACGTACAGTATACGGTCATTGTGGTGTAATTCTAAGCTGAATTAGCATCTTAAAGGAGACGTATGACAATGGGAGATTTACAAAGGGACACTAAGAGATACTCTGTACAGCTCCGAGTTTTAATTGTTAGGGTGACGTTTGATAAATTTAGTTGTACGCGAATGGAGGGATAAGACTTAAAACTAGTTAGACTAACAGTTCGCTAATACTTGAAGAATGTTTAATGTTATCTGTGGTTGCGAAAAATGAATGTTAACAAAGGCTATAAAAATCTTTAAGATTATGCTGATTTAATATTAAAAAATCGTAATTTATTTTATACTGACATACATCAAAATATTTATTTAGTAAAAGTGGTCAAAAATTATATTTATGAAGAACAAAAGTGTAGCAGAAAAATATTTAATCAAGTTCCATGGATTTCGAAGTAATTATTTCACACCTTTTCAGTTTTGTTTTTTTCGTAAAACTATTATAGCGTTTTCTTTCCTATAAAACTAATTACTCATAACAAAAATAATAGTGCAATCGAAAAAACCCTTGACCATCTATTATACTCGTAGTACTTAAATCAAAAGAAATATAAATGAACTAAAACGTCACTTTCCAGATTGTATCATAAACGCGAATAAATCACTCATAACTCATTAGAAAATTGACAATAAAACCATTGTATATATAACCTTACATAAATTTCGACACCAGGGAAGTACCAGATCTCCACGTGTAACACAATCCGTTACATAAGAACCACACAATATCATTCATATGCAAAAAAAATGGCGATGTCTTAGACCGGGCTCGCTGGATTATGGTCTAACGCGGCTCCGAACAAAAACCATGAAGAGGGCTCACTCCATAAAGATGGTACGATTAAGGAAGGGTCATCATTATGATATTTTACTAATGGGACCACATTCCGCACCGACCAGTAGACCAGATCTCGGACAATCGCTTCCCCCGGGTCTATAAGGCCCGGTCATTATTTATAGTTAATTTATTATTATTTTGATACGCGAGATGAAAGGGTTGACACAATAGCGTTCCGTGTTCGATATATGGCCGTTGGTCAGTCCGTGTGTCCGACGTGACAACTGGACGGGATGGGGTGCCAAATGCCCTTTGTTTAAGGCTTGGGAACGAAAGACTACTGCGATGTGCGTACGCGCATGCCACTGAATTAGTTATAAATGTGATATTTACAAAAAAATATTGTACTTGTGTTAAATTCGTACTTTACACAAATGTTTTAAATCAACGATTATCATTTACAAATAAATCAACAAAGCGTTTTTATTTCATTCCTTACATGATGTATGGGATTTGAGTTTTATAATTCACTCTAAATATAAGCATTTCTGTCATTTTATAAACATTAAAATGATGAGAAACTCAAAAGTTAGGAATTTGTGTGTATATGTGTTTTTGTCCTTTTTTATTTGTAAGTTACTACTGCTCTCAAATTAGCTTTCATTAAATATTAACTCAGTTAAACAAAACACACTAAAGAAAGCCTTTGATAAACATTTCATAGATTGGTTTAAATAATCCTTATTAATGCCGACAGAACATCAGCAAAGCATTAAGAAAACATCACCACAAGCGATAAAATGATAAAAAAAAACCTAAAAAAATCAATAAACTGAATGTTTAATAGTAGTTGTTTATCCTATTTCAAGCGTTCTCAATTTAAATGCTCAAAGTGACCGAGGGCCTCCGCTTCCCGATTCCCATGCATTATAGCATTGAAGGGTTAACAATAGACACAAAAGGGTGTGGACAGCGACTCGCACACACCGGTCAAATGGTCATTTTATACCCGTCATAGTTTCAATGGTCAAGGAAATATGAATACACGGCTTTCTACTATTACTCGTTCGTTGATTATATTATTTAAATACAGCACAACCGTTATGCGACCAACGTAGGGCCCGACATGAGAAAGTTTGTCCCTTCGATCAAATGGACAGATTAAAAACTTTTTTCAATCAACTTTTTTCTATTTCGTCCTAAGAAAGGCAACGCCTTGATAGAAAAAAAAAAAGTTTTTTGAAAAGTATTCCATTTATAAACTTTGATTGTTTTTCAAGAAACCTGTCAAGAAAATGACATTAATTTTATCAGCAATTCAGTTGCAACGGTCAACTATAAATAGCTGCCCTGCCACTTTGATAACAATAACATTTTAAACAATTTTAACATAACAATTATAAAAAAAACATCACGAACTACAAAAATTGCGACCATAATTTAACCTTTGTACAAAACCATTTGCATTAAAGACGCCAAAAAAGGAACCCTTCATCTACTCAAGCCCGTAAACAGTAAAAATTTGCATAATTGTAAATTATCTAAAAACGGTGTGTTTGCAACAATCCCAGCACTGGACATTCCCACATAAAAGGCTCACCGAAGCAGGTGGAGGCCGGTGCATCTGAGAAATTCGCCCTCTAACGGTTAATCTCATAAAGTGACCGTTGGGTCTCAAAGGCCCCCGTAAGTAATTGCATTTGCAGGGTTGCGGGATGCAAATATATGCGTTTCACGACCCTCGCTATAATAAGTTGGAGCTGGTATACAATTATGGATAGTTTCTCTTAAAGATGCATATTATAATTAAGATTAAACATTATAAAAGACATTTTTATCATTTGAGGGTTATAAAAGATGGAGTAATTAAATTCAAGTGCCATAAAGTAAGATTAACGTCAAGGAACTGCTCTGTGGTCTATTATTACACTTAATAATTTAAAAATAAGTAAGAATGTTATTTTCTTTAAACATAAGAAAATTTATTGACTATTTATTATTCTCAACATTAAAGAGCATATTTTTAAAGAGGATTTAAAAAAAAAATTACATCACACCAACAGCCTTTAATAGTTATCTACCTGACATAGGCCTCTCCTTAGAAAGGAGGTTTTGGCCTACTATACCACGTTGGCCAGACGCGTTGGTATAGGGTTTGTGTCAAGTTTTCCTTCTCTTTGCAGTGCTGTTATTCTGCGTAGTTTGCTTCTTTAGTCGGCTCTTACGTACGACACCCACGGAATGGATAGGGGTGATGACACTCCGTATTCTTAATCCGTCACCACACGGACAAACTTTTAACTTAAATGATTAAAATTTAAACCAGCGAATTTTGAATGTCATTTTTTTAAGTTTTTGCTAGGAAATGAAAATCAATAGTAATTATAGACAAAAGGTATTTTAAAATAAGAATAAATACATTTACACATATAAATCTGCCCATGAAATTACCTATTTACAGTCTATTTGTCCATCCAAAGGTTGCCTGTGAGATATTGCTTCTTAGCGATAAGGCCGCCATTTGTACATGGTCATTAACTTGGAATACTATTGTATGTATAATATCCTGAATTGGTGTACAATAAAGATTATTCTATTCTATTCTATTTTTTTTTACATGACAAGTCTGATCATCCTGGCCCTCCAATAAACAGACAGCAGTCACCGTAGCCGAAATCGGCAAGGGGAGAGTGATATACACACATATATATGTATACATTTTGTTAAAGACAAACATACTAATATAGTTAAAGTAAAATATTTGATTTGATTAGTCTTAAAACAAATAAATAATAAGTTTAATTCCATTGTCGTAGGATCCCTCCCTCCCTCGCCGGCCGACAGCGGTGTCTCAGACGTTGAATCGTCCTCATCAGGCGCCGGATCAGCCGAGGAGCTCAAGGCTCGCCTGCAGCCGCCCCCACCAGCGCCCTTCCACGCGCCCTTCCTGCCGTTCTACCAACACCACCAGATTGCCAACACGTTGCAGCATCACGCCACCGCGCATCCAAGGCCACCAGGTAACATTTAGTTATTTAACCTAGAATCTTCTTCAATAATCTTCTGGACTATAATGTATACGTCTTAATATCACATTAATAGTATGATGAATACGACAGATAGTGAGTATGGAGGTATTGATGTTTGTTACTCAATTACTCCAAAACAGCTCAACGTATCTGGATGAAATTTGGCTCAAAGATAGGTGGTATCTTTACATTTATAAAATTACTTGCCGTGACTGACTGAATTATTAACGCGGAGTCTAAACCGTTGGGGCTACAAACTTGAAATTTTGCCAGCTGATGCTTATATTGTAAGCACCCACTAAAGGATTTTTGAAAATTTCCTCACCAGAAAGGGTATAATAAAGGATAAACGTTTTTGTATGATAATTCGTGACTTTCAAAGGTAGAAACAAGCATTAATCACGCGAGCGATGGGGCTGGCAAGGGCTAGTACCACATGTTACGCTAAAATTAACACTAAAATATCAAATTTTAATACCATGTTTAAACTAAAACTCCTCGTGTAAACGACACTGATATACTTTGATAATGCTTTTATTTTTATAACAATGTTACAAATACAGATTGATAAATAGTCTTACATCATCGCCGTTTAGTTAGCATTAGACTGAAAAAATGAAACTCTTTTTTTTCTAAGATAACATATTTATTTACTCAAAATATTTACCATAATTATGTATATAATAATTATCTATAGATTGCTGCCATCTAAACGGCAGTTCATTAATGCATTTGCGATAGAACTCTGGGGATCTAGGTTCGACAAACTGTATGAAAGTATTTTGTACTGCCTCCTGGAAAGAAAATGTTTTATCTAGTACAAAATTGTCCAAAAAATTGTAGACCGTTGGAGCAAGGTCTGGCGAGTGCAGCTCCTGTAGAGTTACAACGGTTTCTCGTGCAGTGTGAGGTCTTGCGTTATCATGGAGCAATAATGGTGAAGATCGATTCACGAGACGGGGCGGTTTCACTGCCAGTTTCGCCATTATTTTTCGAAGTTCGGTACAGTAAACATCTGCTGTTATTGTATGACCAGACCTGAGAAAGCTATAGCGAATAACACCATGAAGAGACCACTAAACAGTTAACATTTCCTTTTTATTGGTAAGCTTTGCTTTAGGGCACTATTCCGGCATTTGACCTGGGGTCAGCCATTGTATTTTTCGCTTTTTACAACAAGCCACTTTTTCGATTCAATATTCCTTAATTTCTGTTGCAATTCAACAAGGCAACACAAATTTCAACAGGGATTTCTTTCTGCAGATCAGTCAAATCATGAGGCACCCATTTTTTATTTTAATTTTATTGATTTGGTGCAAATGAGTCAATCAAAAGTCGAAAAAACATATAAAAATATAATCACATAAAACGAGGCAAATATTAATATAATAAAAATAGACGAATAGTTGTAGTTGTGTTGAATATTAATATTATTAAGTAAGTTTTGTGGGTGACCGTGCGGTTAACGCCCGTCCTGAAGGGTCACCTTTCGCAAAGCGCGAGCGCAAGGAATTTGGGGGGGGAACTGCCACCAAATAGTCTTGACACGTTGACATTTAAACATTTATTCAACAAAACAATAGGTATATATTTTATAATAAATGTGTTATGTCTTTATATTTTCTGAGTAATATTTATACGAAAATAACAGTAAACAACCGCCCAGTTCAACAAATATCGCATCTAAGAGAATTACTGTTTTATATTTAGCACCTATCTTGAAACTAGCCATGTACTCGTATTTCTAAGAACTTATGTCACAGTTTATATATGGGAATTCATTGAACAATATTACCGCAGGTTTATTGACAATTTTTGTTTATTACTCGCATTTATCAGTTTAAACGTTGTGGCTATTGGATTACGTAAAAACCTATTTCGCACCATGTATTTTGTAATATTTATAAAGGAAATAAACAACTTGATATGAAATTCTAATTATAATTCATTCAGACGTAATGACGAAGGTAGAACTTCATCTGCGCGGACAACATGGCTTAGTAATTACAGCATATCATTAAATAATCACTGTGGCTTCATAAAGTGTATAGTTTATTAATCCAGATGAATATGCGAATCAGTATAATTAAGTGCTCGTTTGCGATGTTTGTGGCTAATAATGCCAACGAAATGAATATAATGCGGTGCATGGCTTTATCAGAGCACTTCCGGACGCGTGTTTACTGCGTCCTGGCTCTCGGCCAACTGGCCTTCTTTCTTTAAACAATATCGTTAAATGCACATATTATTTTTATGTACACCAATAACTCACTCACACAATTATTTGAAGTCTCGAGAAAAACGGACAAAATTCTTTTGTGCAACGCCCGTTAATTGTTCCTGAATAAAAAACAAACCAATTAATCGCAAGTCGCTTTCACCTCCCAATGTCAACGTTTTGCTAATCCCTACCATTTTACCATCAAAGCGAATGTATTTTAAACTCACGTCTGTTCTGCGCAATGTCAGAAAAACACGGGAAGTACAGCTTAGTCAGAGGTATTTGTTTTTGCGTATAATGCGATGCATTACGTTATCAACATCCATTACGCGGTAGGTAAGGTATCCCTTCGAGCTGACTTCCTCCTCGGACACCGGCGCACTCGTTCTGAGAAGTATGAATGTTTATAATCGATAGATGTGTTGGGATGCCGGTTTCCATGACACAAAACGAAAGAAACGAATGCCGGACGGACGGAACCAGTTGGCATGGCGTTGTATCAAGCATTTATCGCGAGTTGGCGCTCCACACCCGTTCTGAGCTATTCGACATTGCGCAAGGTCAGTGCTCCTAATATAAAGATGCAAAAAACTATACTACCGTCAAAACGTATGCGAGACGCGTCGCCAGCGAAGACTGCCGGCGCATGCGAAGCGACCACTTTCGATTGCGGGCGCATTTTAAAAATGCCTTGTAGGTATACAGCACATACATCGCCTAGCTACCTTTGTCTGTACAACGGATGTGCCCAAATATAACTAGGATATTTATATTTTATGAACAGAGGACAGAAGAACATGGTGTTGGACGCTAAAGACCGTACAAATCAAAATAGACACGGAACTTGGTAATAAATACCTTTTGTTATTCACGTTCTACATCGTGCGACACATTCTACGCAAATGTAATTATAAATAAATGGTACCAATTATTTAAAAACTGTTGAAAACGTGTACGAGACAAACAACCAGAATATCAAACATTGCCAACGTCACAGGCTATTTATTTACATGTAGTTTACATTAACGCTAAAATGCAATAAGGATAAATATATTGAAAAACATGAGGCAAAACCACATAAGAAAATCCTCCCGTACATACCTAACATTGACTAATTTGTTGTTACAATAAAATCAAGACGGATAACTGAACATGAATGAAAACTCAACTAGACAAATACGTCTAATTTTACCTTATGTAATCTGAATGATTCACTTTGAATAAGAGCACGTCTTGAAACCAACAGTGTATAGCTATGATATATTCCTTGTTCCGAAAGGAAAACAGACTATAACTGAAGTGGTATGATGCCAGAGGTAGGTGTAAGCCGTCCATTGCTGTAATGCGGCACACACGAAATTTCGGTGTTGCAAACGTGAACATTGGGCAAGAGCGGCGGTGCCGGCGCCATTGTCAGCCTCTGGCGAAACGTACGCGACCTTCCTACTCGGATTGGGCAGCAAACCTGATTGTGCGAGTATGTGGCCGCGTGTTCGATTTACATCAACCAGTTTCTGGAAACATATAACAGCAATAGGACCATATTTATATATGTACGTGTATGATGTGATGTGTTGTATATGTGTATGTATATGTATGTAGTGAACCGTGTATATTTTTATATATTACATGTCATAATATGTAATCTCTGTGCACCTACTTTATATGATTTCTACACCGCCCAAAGGTGACTGGAAGAGAATGCCTTGGGCATTAAGTCCGCCGATGTACAAAAGTGCATAAAGTTTGAAATAAATAAATAAATATTGGAATGTCACCTTACATTACATACTTAATCTTTTACGTTTACGTAAAGAGTACATATAGACAAAATTAATTTCAAAAATTTCATCTCAATATGAAATATACCTATATGGTACCAGTGTTTCTAAACTTTAAAAACATTTTCTTTAGTTACTGACCTCTAATTTAATGTTACGCGTGTCTTTCTAATCGCGGATATTTGTAAATGTTCATGTATTCTGTCTTATGTTTTTAAAATGCTAGCTGTAATTATCCCAAACAGAGAAAAAATAAAATAATCCTGATTGCACGTCCTAACTACATGTAATAATCAAGCCTACCATTTATACTATTCAGAATTCAAACTCAATAATAAAATATAATTATTTCTAATTTGCAGACACTTAATTGAGTAAGCCTTCCGAGAGTCTTCATGCTTAAACTTTGATAAAGCTAGTTTAGATATAACAAAAGAAACCTTGAGTGGATGTTGCCAATTGCCAAATTGTTAGACGTGGGCAGCACGAAACCATTTTCTGTATGCGTGCGAATATCGAGAGTTGATTTTTGAATGCAATTCAGTTGTGCGGGTTGCGTCACATTATGCGGGTGGCGTAGCGTACACCGCGTACACAACACCAGCTGAAGCATGTATCCTTGTGCCATCAACGGTATGTACATACTCGTATATTTAAGCAAGTGATTTAGATGTTTCGTCAACAAATACTTCAGCTAACTGAAATATTCAATCGGAAATTAAATACGTAACTTTAATCTGGGACGATTCGTGACCGTACCATAATTCGACGTATCCGCTCACCGCCACCAGATCACGATCTAAGGCAGGATATGATAATACATATATTAAATCTTTACGACAATAAAACTCAGTTTAATCAACGTTTTTATTGTCTATGAATAAGCAATTTGTATGAATTATTGAATTGCTTTTATACAAGTCCAATTCAAGATTTGCTTCACCGCGGGGGTACTAATACGTTGAAAAATTCTAAGTCAACATTGATGTTGTTAGTAATGCTGTGTTGAATAGAGCTATTCAAATATTCAGTACACGCAGTAAACATACAGAGATGTCAATCTGACATTTGCAAACGAAATGGAAATTAAAATGATGGCGATGTATGTTATGCAGCGCGCTGCATCGCGATAAGCGCTATGTGTGTTAGTGTGCGTGTCTAACGTGCGCTCACAGCGGCGCACACGTGTGTGCTCGTGCGCGGGAGTGTGCGCGAGGTGATCGTCCCGATTCAAGGGCACTGCAACGCTAGCGCTCGCCTTGTATTAATAGTTGGCGACTATTTTCGCCTCGCCGACCGCTGAGGGGACCGGAACGTTATTATTGACATTCGCAAACTTCCAAAATGGATTTGCTAGCTTACATCACGGTACCATGCGATGACACGCGTACCACGGACGACAATAACACAACAACTTTACTGAACTTATGGTCTTTGGTTTCATTCTCGTTCCTAATGTCATTTTAATCTTAATGAACTCAAACGATGTAATTTCGTCGATTCCTGTACATAAAGTTTAATGTCATAGTTTCTTTTACTTAATGAACAGTTTTCAGTTCTTTACTCATCAACTCACATCTGGTACAGCCTATCGTAATAGATAAAAAGACAATAAACTTGTAAGTATCTAAAGATTTGTCATTTTATTGTTTTTACCCACAAATGCATTGAGTAAGGTTTGTCGATGATGTAACCTAGTCTCTGATAGAGTGTAGGTATTAGGTGTATCGCTTGTCTTTATCCTTTCCTCAATTGTATTGCAATTAGTTTCAATTCTCCACTGTTCGTGCTCGTGTCGCTCGTGACGTCATCGCATAAATCCTCAGCAGCGACCACCGAGGCGCATAACTTTGTTTTGTGATCACGGTTACAATTATTAGGCACGACGCCATTGCGGTTTAGTCTTATTCTAAATAAAGAACAAAACAGTTCTAAAATATAGTTTCTTTGTTTTTAATCGGTGCGTTTTCTGTCACCGTATAAGGAAGACGCGACGCACGCCATCTGTCGTACGAAAAACAATTGCGCAACCGTCGGCGACCCAGTTGCGCGCCGCGGTCGCTGCCAAACGCGCCTCGACTCCTCTACAATTACATATTTCGGTGTCGCAACAGCGCGGTCGCATCCGAGTTGAACGGCCCACGACCTTGAGAGTTGCGCAGCGCACGCGCCGCCGAAAGCGAAAGGAGTCACTTACGATCCCGGAATTCACCACCATGAATTCCCCGTTAGCGAGGTGCGTACGTGACCTCCGACCTGTCGCTGTACTCTATTTTTCAACGTGACAACAATTAATAGCGGAGCGAGGAAAAGCAATGAATCAGAGCACTCTAAGCTAGCTAGATGAGCGCCATCGCGCAATGCGTCACCTTCATGCGTTCCGTTTCACACGCGGCTTCCTGTGCAAGTTTTGCAACGCATATATAGCGGTGAGTGGCGAAACGGCCGCCATCTTCCCGCTTCCGAAATAATAAGACGATACTACACCGACGAAGACGCTCACTTCAAAACTTGTAACGACCTAATTTTGCACTACGGAATCTAAACGGCCCACTTATCCGGAAACCTCACACGATTCTTTGACGATAAGTATAAAAACAGAAGGGGAACGTGTCCAGGCGGCCTATATACTCGCTCCGATGGTTTCCTGGCTGTTTAAAATTATCCGCTCGTCCCCGGCGAAGCGGCAAAATGCTCGCCCTTCACGGACCACGGCCGCCCCTGCTGCTGCCACTCTAAATAGCATAACTCCATAACCGGGTCGATTATGTGCGGCTCGCAGCGGGTGTAGCGAGTGGATATCGTGCCGCTCGCACTCGCTATCCTTGTGTTTATGCGTCGCAAACCTAATCGGGTCAGTGTTAGGTCGCATAGCGCTGCATAAATAGATGCGTCGCTCCCCGGTGCACCGCTCCTCTGAGTGGCCCATATCGAGAGTTTCGCAACGTGTTTACGCGCGCCCGTAGCCCCGTGCCAAACTCACGGATTCCACAGAATAGTGGCGTTGCAAAATCATAGTTTTTAGATAACACCGGTGTCACTGGAAGCCGTGGGAATATAGGGCGGTTAAATTTAGTCTGTGAATCTTTTCGTAACACTGAGCTTTTCGGTTACTTATGTTAGTAAAACGCCATCGATGACGTCCTTAGTTACACAACTCGCTAGCTGTGCCTACTTCCTAATCGATAACAGTTGCGAATAAACAGTCTTAACATTATCTGTTGCTAAAACGTGCCACAGAATTATATATTATGCGGCGTGTTGATAACCGAGGTGACATAACAACTCTTTATCACTTACCTCGGTAGTGTACCCACTACCGAGGCACCCAGTTATTAAAATTTCTATCGTCTCTTGACAATTACCTACGCTCTCTTGTCGCTGTAGGTTTTGTTTTTAATGACAGAGGGGGCAGACGAGTCAGCTGATGGAAAATGACGATCGCCGCCCATGAACGTCTGCAACTCAGGAGTCACAAACGCGTTGCCGGCCTTTTCAGAAGGAGTACGCACTTTTCTTGAAGGTTTATAGGTCGCATAACCCGTTCCACAAATTGGTTCTGCTAGGCAAAAAGTGTCTCGAAAAGCGCACAGTAGTGGAGCGCCAACTATCCAGGTTATGAAAATTTTGCCGTGTGGAACGATGGCGGAAAGTTGCGGCCGGTATTAGTCTGAACAATTCCTCGGGGCATTCTCTCATGATATATGCGATAGAGAATACATTGTGAAGCCACATCTCAACATAACGCCAAGGGATCGAACCGATCGGAGATGTTTGGGCTATCGACGATATGTCGGTCAATTATTAGTCACAATAGTTTGGTGTTAGCGACAATACAAATCAATAAATTAAGTAAAAAAACCGTTCCGACCTGATTGGCCAGGAGTCAGGGTCGGATTGAGTAACACGTTTGATGGAAATCAGTGGGGCCTTGACCGCCGTGTACGCCCCTCAACCCGCCTTTTACGGCCATTGTCTTGACGACAAAATGTTTATAACACATTATTAAATGTTAATATTTCATAACAAATTGTCAAAAAAAAAACGGAAGCGAAATTTCGTCGGCGTTTTGTTCCATTTACCGTATACATTATTAATAAGAGTACCGGAAAATGTTGTTATCAAGTATCAACACCATTTTTTAAAACACACTGTCACTGCTATACGTGAAGGGGTGGGCAGAGGCGTGTTTTGAACATAGATGTGAAAATCGAGACTTATAATAACAATAATATATAATATAATAATAACAATAACTTTCGTTACGAGTGGACTGTTATTTTAATCCTACTTACGTAATAAGGAGCCATCTATTGCCGTCAACCGGACACTTTAGGGATTAGAAACGAAAATTGGGACAATATTGGAAGGAAAAGTAGATAAGAAGAGAAGGAGATGGTAGAAAAGGAGTATTGCTAATACGGATGGATCAGGGAGTGTAAGCTCGAACAGGTCAGGGTCGGATTGGTTACTATCGGCAAGTCCGAACCCTCTAACCGATGTTGTAAACCACCACCTATAAATTATTTGTCTGAATAAAACAATAAAAGATGCTTTAATATGTATTCAGGCCGTAACTGCTGCCGGATGTGTACATCATAACCGGAAATCGATTTTAGAGATGAGCGGAAGGCGAAAATTCTTTTGCGTCACGCAACATGCGCATTCTGTACAGATATAATAAATAATTAGTATCGATCTTCTTTACCATAGACTATAGAGGTTCTTTAAATACAAGAAAAAAAAACTTGTCGTTTTATTAAAATATAAATCAAACTGGTAAAAACATGGAACACAAATGTAATTAATAAGAAGGACATGTCATGCGGAGGGATGAGGAAAATGTGGCCGAGAAAGTGTTAGACATGGGAGTTGAAGGACACACGAGAAGAAGGCCAATGAAAAGTTGGATGGACTGTGTGAGTGAGGATACGGTTAGGAAGGGAGTAAACAGTGAGATCACGAATGATACAGTTGAATGGAAAAATCATGCTCACTGCGCCGACCCCAAATAGGGTAGGGATTAGGGTAGGCAGATGATGATGCTTTTAATTAAGGGCAATTTTGGAAAATGACTCATTTAATTTCGTAGTTCAGTTTTAGGACAGTTTTAAATTTCTATTGTTAATGTCATTAGACCTTAGCACTTTCAAGATACTCGCAGTATCACTTTTAGACGATCAACATTACAAAACTACAGAATGATAAATACAATTTTATTAATACATCAAAATTATACGTTATTGTATATTGAGGTCGTAATTGGCATGTAATGCATAGTCTACACGCTTGCCGAGGCTTCGCAAACGTCTACAAGCTCCATGCCTTTACAAACGTTAGACGCCATTTACTTACACGTTTGTATACGGACATATTTTTATTCAAAATATAAATGGCGGCACTAAACTAATAAAATCCTCTAGCCTTACTGATCAACTTATATCAAATGGAGCAGTGAGGAACAAGCACGCGCCAACATGTAAATTCGTCGCAAGCACTTGCCGCAAGCTACCTTTGATCGACGTCAAGCCAAACACCCCGTTTACACGCTTGTGTTTGTGGACACTTGTGAAGGTTGGCCAAGTTGGCCAAACGCTCCATATTTTTATTATTGCTTTGGCATCCGAATTTATTTATTTGTTTTCAATTATTTAGATGACAATATAATTTTAGAAACACGATTAAGTGACTTAAAGTACACCTAAATAGAAAAACTTCTTATGTAGAATATACGACCCAGAACATAGATCCAACTCACTAGCCAGAAAGATGACAGCACCTGGGACTATCCGTGAAATAAACATACAATGATAAAAAAACATTCCAAGCTAGAAACTTTAAACACAATGCGAGAAGTCCTGTTTTAAGAAAACCTCCTTTTGATCCAACATAGGGACCTTCTGTAAGAAAAAAATATATAATTCGAATTAAGAAGTTCCAAATTTCAAAAGATATTGCTTTTTTTTATTGGACGACTATGGCCTATTTGATATTATAAACTCGGATTCAATACATTTAGATAACTTAAACTACCTAACTAACAGTGTAAGTGTATGAGTCAGCTCATGAAGGAAACAGGCACAATAGTGAATAATAACCAACACAATATAGCTATAATGTACGCACCTATGTAACGAGTAGGTACACACACATTTGTATTTGTTATGTACATTGTGGTGTGGTGAAACCAATGTCCACACTCTGCAAATACCGTCAATGAATAGAATTTCAATTATTCCAACAAGAATAAATTTATTCTGCATATTTTATTGTTTTTTTTATAAGAACACAATTCCAATTAGAAATAACATAGTTAATCAATCTCTTTCGACAAACAAAGAGTTGCACTAGAATGATTGATCCAACATGGCGTCCTTTTGCCAGGAAGTGTAGGAATTTGCAAGACGCGTTAGAGGGCGCGCGGGTAGTGGCGGTGGGGCCGCGGGGGCGGTCGCGGCTGCACGGCGCGCGGGCGCCGAGGGTGACCTTCGCGCGTTGATGCAATGTCGCCGTGTCATTGACCACGCTGCGCCGCGCAAACAGTTGCAGCTACGCGCCCCTCCCACCCCCACGCGCGCCCCTCGTTCCTTGCCCCCCCCCCCCCCCCCCGACGACGTCTATCACCCCCTCCTCCTACTCCCCCCTCTCTGAGTAAGCGTGACTGCAAAAGTTTTGCCGGTTTTTGAAATCCTCTCGTTTGCATTTAGAAGGCGGACACAATTCTTAAATGAGGAACAGGAAAATTCAATCTAAGGTTCTTAACCGCGACGTCAATGTACGCGACCGAATAAAAAACGAATTAGCCTTACCTTATCTTGCTAAACAAAAGGATCCAATCAATTTTGGAATGTAATTTTTTTTATAATTCAAATGTATCCCAAAAATTACCTGCGCAAACCTCAACAGTAATGATAAATATAAACTTAATGCGTGAAATGAAATCTTGCAAAAATAAATATCCAGGTTGGAATTTTTGTTGTCATTAAAAAAAAATAGCCAGAGTAGTGATGTAACGTATAAAATAAGAAGATGTATAATACATAAACAAATTGTCGTGTTTAAAGTATTTTAATGGCTGCCGCTTAGCAGGTATTTATAAAAATAATAAATTATGCACAAATTCGTTCAGAGATTTAGAGGTGTCGACATAAAACATTGTTTGGCTGTGTTCCATCTTAACGTGAAAACAATCATTTAAAACGTCAGCACTTTACACTTGAAGCGGAACGTGCCCTTACATTATATCAATATTAAAATAAAAAATATTTTTACAGTTGCATGCGTTTACGTAAGCGTGGGGTGTACGAACTCTACGCCGGATCACCTTCGCCGTGTCCCAAACTATAGGTTGAGGTCGTATCGGCAATAATAGTTATCGATAGAATCACGTCACAAACAAGATGAGCGAATGAACGATGTCTTTTACATGAACGGCAGCGACACTATTGCGCGGGAAAGTCGATAAATGTCAAAAAGTACGTTCTCAAATTATTTCTATTGTTGTTAAGGGTACAACTGTTGTGCAACAATATAATACACATATAAATATACATATACATATGTACACTCATAGAAGTAACAAAAAAAAAGGAAAATATTGTTGTCAGAATGTCTTCGCAATTACGTTAAATATATGGTATTTTAGTAATAGAATCATCAATATCTACCAAAGGTTAAAAATATTCCGTTAAAACGGTAACTCAATAAAGAACAGACGAATGTCATGTACAGTTTGACAGCGTTAAATGTCAACACGTTTTAACTGACCTTACACAATATCGAGTTGCACTCGCATTACCGGCCTAAATAAACAGATAGTTGAACTGGAGCTTTGTGCACTGATAACGGCATCCGTCGGGAATACACAAAAATACATATTAAAGACGATAACGCTATCTCTCAACTTACCTACCACTTTAAACACCAGACGTATGCAATTCCGTGTAAATAAGAATGACATTGCACAGGATAAAAATGTCTTATCCCGTCTCGTATTCTGGTAATTTTATTCGAATTACGAATTACAGTTTAGAAAATATTTTTAGTTTTAACAATCTCTCACCATAAACATAGTTTTATTTTTTGTATTCTGTTAGCGCCGAAAATGTAAACTTGCCATAGATGCGTAGGAGACAAAAATGTCACTTAGATAAGTAGGAACTTCCCATTTAGATAATGAACGACAACTAACGTGTTTAATAAACGTTTATAACCACACTGTTCATCCCGAATAATGTTAAAACGAGAAACACATATTATATTGAATTTTGTACCATAAACTGCAATTTTTCAGATACAGAAGAATGTATGAAATAGAGACAATCTGAAAAATTACAGTTATTGTCTTTGAAAAGTGATTTTGGTCATCAATTATCACACATAAAAAAAGGGAAATACCATATCAGGTTTTCGAGAAGTTATACCAGTTTAATTATGTAGAAATCACTTTAATTTCAATAGTTGTTTTGTACATCAAATATAATTAAGAAACCCAATTTTATTTCTTTTTGATTCCTGTTTTGAAGATTTACTCCTCCTTGAATGATCTCTCTTAAACTCTTAAGACCGTTCTCTAACGCGGTAAAAAAAAAATAGGATTATAAATAATAGGGAATAAACTTTGGTATGACAGTATATGTTGTAACGAGTAGCGGATACCACTTTCTACGTACCTGGTAAGCAAAGAAAGCATTCAGAATAAGTTGAAAAATAATAATTAAGTGATTGAAAATTGCTCCTACATGTCACAGATCACATCACATCAACAGCCTTTAATAGGTCACTGCTGGAATATATATTTTTTATTCTCCTTAGAAAGTAGGTTTTTGCCCTACTATACCTAATCACAGATAACACAATAAATAATAAAACTCGCCATAGTCTATACTTTACATTGCACGTGGAACGGACACATGTCCACAACTTTACGCGGCCAATTTACATTTTAATACAAATATTTCTTTATATTATTTGTCTTGTTTATCCGTCTCCTACGGTGAGGTGTCTATTGCTTTGCATATCCACTTCTATATTACAATCATTATAATTATAATGACGACTATCATTAATTGTTCAGATGGCAATTCATAGATGTTCAAGCACGTATGTTCCTTGTTTATTCAGCATTTTAAAATGTTAGAGTTTTCCGCCATAAACCCGTCTTATTTTAGCATACACTGTATGTATAAGTTTAAATAATAGGAACTGTTTTCTCATTTACTAATATTGTTTGAAAAGAATTTACATACTCGTAACTTGTCAATTGTAATATTTTCTGGTTATTTATGCTAATAATGATGGGTAAACAAGTTAGAAAAATGTTGTCACATATATATTTATACATTATTAAAGGCGACTACTATTCTAATAAAATGTAAAAAAAAACATATTAATGGTTTTCATACGTTTCAAAATTATCAAACGTGTTGCAGACTGATTTGTTATTTTAGCATAACTTTCGTAAAGTAGATATAAATTTCTTTGACTTTCTGTGTTTACTTTAAAATGGACCCAATCTTTTTATGTTAATTTTTAATCTTTATTACACTAAATACATTATTTAAGATCTATTGATTCAAGCTACCATGGTCATTTTCATTTGTAAGTTATTATTATTAGTATAGTATTAGTACATCCGTGCTCATGGCGTAAACAAATTCCCGAAAATAAACCTAGTTTCTAATAACTTATCAAATTATCTAAGTTTTATTAATAGTTATTTATTTTAAACTTTCTTCACATTTGTTTCGCTAAACTTTACGTTTGTAAAATGGGGTAACTTAAGACCGTTCCACTTTTAGAAAATATAGTATCAAATATGCTCATTAGTGGTATTTGATGATATTGAAACTGCAAAAAGACGTTCGTGGCAGTTGATAAATAATCAAAAATGTTACAAATAGTAACCATAAGGTTAATAAATAAATATTTCGGACACTGACACACAACGCCATCTAGATTCAAACTATGCAGAGCTTGTACTATGAAAGCTAGATGGACTAATACAATAACTGATATGTATACTTTTTTATAAATACATACATATATATTATTTATAGTGATTGCATATTAAATTACGAAGGGACCTGTTGCGTTTTAATGATAAAAATTTAACAGCTTATTAAGAATTCTTACAACAATATTATAACATAATATATATTACGCAAGGAAATGTGGCAGTCAGAACCGGTAAAGCTTTAATATATATGTAGGTATAACACCGAAGCGTGGTTTAAACGACATTCAAATGCAAATTTTAAGTTCACGGTATTTTACGCAAAACGTACAGGATTAAAAGCAGGCTAGGTTACTTAGAATTATGTACTTTAAAAACTTTTGCGAGCCTTCCTGTTATTTTTACATAAACCAATCACACAAACTTGTTGTAAAAGCGACAACCACATAAGTTAAAAATTAATAAAAACTACTGCTATAAATTATATTTAATTATTATAATTATATCTTGTCATAAATTATATTTAATTAAATCCAAAGATATCTGCCATATTTTTTTGTAGTGAGACTAGGGACGATGCAAAGTATTGTAGCGAAACATAAGGTTTCATAGTGGAATAAGACAACTCACAAACATACTTACAGGTATATACCTAATTAAATTCGGACTTAGAAATACCAATTGCTCAAATTTTTTTTTATACAATTGTAGGTAATGAAAAAATTAACCCATCAGGAACACAATGAACTCAGTTCTGCCCTGACTAAACCTTGTTACATTTGTGATGGAATCCTTCGAATTAAGTTAATAATTCTAAATGTTGCTATACAACCTATAGATATAAAAGTCCCAAGTAGTAAATAAAAATACTGGGTCCTGGACCTGGTCTCTGGTTAGTAAAAAAAATATTAAAACAGACCATAAACATAAACCAAAATTGTCTGCTTTTTTATTCCCGTAACACATTCAATTCAGAATTCAGCGCTTGTCAAGTAACTGTTATGCAGTCATGTCGGATCTGAAATCATGAAGGGTCCTCGTCCACGTGACCTCGATACAAGAGCTGCCCTCTAGTTGGCGCTTATCGGACGCCGTTACGTAAGGGGCAGTGGAGTGTAGCCGCTCGCCTCTGCAGCGCTGACCTTACTTAACGTAGCGCTAGTTCAGCGCACGCGCATCTTAAAACTATGCGCCATCTTTAGATTCGCATTTTGAATTTATCACAAGTAAAATGTACTTGAATATTATTATATTATGTAATTGTATTGTATCGGATCAATGTCACCTTGATTTTATATAAACAATATCGTTGAACCACCTTTCACCTTTGCCCCAATACAATCAAACATGTACCAGGTCAACCGTTTAATAAAGAAATTAAAACATTGATAAGCTCACGTCTTAGTTAATCTTTAAAAATGAAAGTTTTTACTTAAGTATCAAATGTAATGACTTTTAATGTAATATTAAGTTTCGCGATATATCGTGGTAGAGGGCGGGTATTAGTTTTGCATGACGATAGGGATGGAGCACAGCTAGTGTATGATTGTGAAGGTCAACTGGCGGCGTCATTTCCTGGTCATTGCCTGCCGACGCATCCGACGCCCCGTCCCGCCGACGGTCCTCGCGCATGCAGTTACCGCTCTCGCACAGCCCGCGGCGAATCTTAGACACATGCACGCTTTCCGGTCGCACAGGAAAACTATACCTACCTGTATGTGCAGCAATATTGAATGACATTACTTTGAATAACAATACCATTACTTTTATCAAAATACAGAATCAATAGAGGGCTATCTCTTCCGCCTTTCTGTACGCGTATTGTTTTGCACATAACATTCGGCCACGCTAACAGTTGCTTTGAGGAAATGTTCTCAGCGCGTATCTTATCTCTCTAATACTTTTATCGCCTGTAAAAATAGCAAATTTGCAAACTGATAAATCGCCGTATGTGTTTATATCAGCACATTGACGTCAGTGGAATGTAACGCTATAATTCTGCCGCTAGCTCGACACTTCCTCACATTTTCACAAACAGAAAAGAGGACATTTTAAAATACATTTGCAAAATACAAAACATGTTATTTTAGTTTTATCTACTAGCCTCTGAAACAAGAAATGCCCATCATTGTTTAAACAGAAATACAGAACACCATAATTACATGGTAATTTAAGTATCGTACAATATCTAAACACGTCTAATTATACACCTATTATAAATAAACATAGTTGCTCATTTCCTTTAGCGGCTAATATAAAACAAAAACTAGGAAAACCATCATAAGGAGACGTAGCAGGGGAGCGTGCAGAAAGAACACTAATTCGGTAAACATGGCCTGTTTGTATCGCAAGAGGTTTGTGGGGTAACCCATTTATCTGAAGTGTGGGATGCGCGCCTGCAACCGGTTTCACCTCCCCCACCACATCAAGCTAAACGTTCGCATACTTGCATCCGGGACGAAACAATCCGTCTTTGTCAGTGAGCCACTCCAAAAGGCACCCAGTACGTATCGAGTAAAGTGCACTTTCAAACGATTGTTGGATTGAGAAATATTCTTTTCGCATCGAGGGAGTGCTAACTAGCAAAGTGAAGATGACATTCTAAGACTGCAGCAGGCGTACAAACCGACGTAACCTTGATCTTGCAGCGCAGCCAGTCGGATGCGTCCAGCGCATGTGCTAAAAATAGAGTCGCCGGCGCATAAAATGCGGGTTTTTTACGCGCCGTCTTTTTAGCTTCCCATGATCGCAAGGGATATTTGTGAGCGTACGTGTTCGTTGAACATTATAAATAACAGGTATCTATGTTAACTGCCAGTCCCATTTTTACCGTTATTCTTACTTGAATATTCAGCTTCTGAATATCTACACATTCAATTAATAATAATGTACTATGGCCTATCTCCTATGCCACTATCCTTACTGTATATGTAATACCTACCTTAAAAATAGTTCATTTTAACGTTAGCATACACAAGTGAAAAAATACGTACCTACTAGGTACAAACTGTTTCGGCGACATTAGGTCTGGTTTGAATAGGTGAGTCAGGTGAGCCATGGTACGGAGTGATAGCGCGAGGAACACCGCGGTCTCCTTCTGTGAGCAAGTTATGCTAGCGAAGGAGACGGCGGAGTGGGACCGGGAGAGATTTAGAACTCTTCCGGTCTGCCAGGCCCGGGAACGGGAACAGATGGGGAAGGCCTGGGGGTGATAGGTGAGGCCATCTGTCACCTAGCTGAAGCAGGCCGGGCTGGCGGCGCGACGCACCCTTTAGTTTGTAGAACGGGAACAATGTGGGTCCCACACACGAGGGGGTCATCTACATACCGTAGATGGCCCGGGGTACGTCGGGGCTCCATTGATTTTCCCAGGGTACACCTGGATCCCCGGCTACTGGTACCTGTGATGGCGTGCGGTTTTAAGTCGGTTAGAATCCGACATAACGACTTTCATTTTACTGGTGTATTCTGCTTTTAAAGATAAAAGTAACTTACCTTATCTATTTTTATTTAATCGTATTAATTTATTTGTCACAAATGTAACATTATAATATTCTGAATTACTTAGAATATATTAATAAAATGATAAATCGGATATCACACCACTAGTTTAGATGTACTCTACTGACAAATAACTCATAATTCAAAATGGACTTTCAATTAAAAAACATCTTAAAAAAACTTATTTATCTTTTAAAAATCTTTAGGTACCTAATCGAGACTTGTTTATGTGTGTGCCGGTCACACGTGTCGTTCAGCAGACGCTAGGTTAATGACCGACAGATAAGCCGCGCGAAAATACATACACACCAGTTAGATAATATTAGAAAATGGCGAACAGCGCCAAACAGACCACGTTTAAATATATACGAGTACCTATGTATCACGCTTTATCTTACACGACTTCCTACTACGCATCAAAAAATAATTTAAATACGAACTTGACATCTTATATTACAAAATATTACTTAATACTTGATATTAGTCGTGCACATCACTATTACTACCACCTATTAAATCATGCAGCGGGATTGTTTATGGTGACTCTAACTTTTACATAGACAAATGTTTATATTTAGGGACTTTCCCTGTTTCAATTCGAACCAATAATAATTACGTAATTATTACAATAAATAATCCTGACCACTGTCGTACCTTATCATATTCGAACGTTACCCACAAGTTGGGGTAAAATACGCTTCATCACCAGACTCTGTGGTCATTATCTGTGGTAAAATTTTAGTAGCGATCATACAAACCTAAACAAACAAACAACGTATTAAATACCAAGAAATATAGAAATAGACTAGTACATTATAAACTTGAGCCATTAACATCAAAAACAAGCTTTTTAATTTTCTGGAACACATAATTTAGCACAATTTACGCAACCTTATTGCCGCAACACTAAAATGCCTTCTACTGAATAATGCTACCATAAAACTTACACTAATCTAAAAGCGCAATTCCTATTGAGAAAAACATTGATTTTGGCATAAACTGTAAGCCACAGCTCCTAGTATAAAAGTTTTCATGTAAACCAAAATAGAACCAATCTTTTGATAAGAAAAGTATCAAAAAAAACCATAGATAAAGATTTGAACATATACCACAAAAAAAAACATTTTTTAAATGGAACGCTTAACAAAGATATCCAGTTGACGGGCTTTAGAATGACTGTAAATCTATTTAAACTCACAAAAACACATTTTCTAAAGATATTAATTTTGTATCTAAATCATTTCGCAAATGGGGGTAATAGCCCAACCGAACAACTGTTTTATTGAACTGGCCAGCTGAATTTTATAGCGGTGTCTAAAGACTTGAAAGCTATTTTTTTTATTTCGTTTCCTGGGAGAAGTTTATTCTGTGTAAAATGGATGACCAGAAACAAGTTGTAATAAAAACTATACACATACTGACGTCCAGGCCCCTCTTTCACACTGGGCACTCTGGGCACGTGCCCAGGGCCCCTCGACAGATAAAGGCCCCCTAATTTCTACCTACCTACCTAATTCGATAATCGATATTTCTTACCGAAAACCATATTTATTTAGAAAAAAACAGCGAAAATGGCTGATTATATTTAATATAAGAATATATAATACCTTTTTCGGCTATTCTAACAGAATACTAATCAGTCAAGGCTGTAGGGGCCCCATTATCCCAATGTGCCCAGGCCCTTCGATAGGCTAAAGACGGCCCTGCTGACGTCTAACTAGCAACTAACTGATAAGCGGCTAAATGATTTTAATAATACAGTAGATTGGAGTCAACTGCCACCTTCACGTAGTACCCCGAGACGAAGTTTTTCGTTTACGATAAATATTTACTTTTGAATATAACGTTTATATCAGTGGCGCTATTGGTAAATGTATGTAAAAGTTTTCTTTTTTTGATGTATGTTTTCATTACATACCTACAGTAACATAACGTTTATCAATAAAGTTACAAGAAATTGTGGCCAAAGTAACCCGTATCATCTATCTGTCAACTCTGTGAAGCTCGCAACAAGACGTTAGCAGAAATATTTTTTTTTTTAAATGAGGAAAATGTTGTCAGTGAGTAGGCTGGCGGCGCGGCGCAAGCATTCGGGTCAAGGCGGCGATGCCGGCGCTTTGACGCAATCCACGCTATCAGTATTATCGCCGAGCATTTACATTGTTTGGACGCGGGTGTGGAAACTGAGATGACACCATAGAACAGTCGCGAAAAAAAAAACTACATTTTTAATAATCTCTGACAGCAGCTCCCTGACGTTAATTTTCATACGCAAAGTTAAGGTGTATTTAACCTGTATTATACTTTTGAGTAATACTTATTACAAAAGGAGAACAACACGTCGATAAATAACATTGTAATATTGTAATTGAATGTTGATAGCGCACAAATGTATTATACATTTACAATTTCGATGAAGTCTAGAGGTGCAGTTATGTTGCTTGATAATGTATCATGTTATTGTAATATTGCACTATATTATTTAAAAAAAATATCGAGTCCATGTCTGCGATACTTGTAATTATTATAAGTTATTGATGTTTTATCAGAAATGGCTTGTATTCGTTTATAATCATGAGTGATGTGTAAAAATAACAATTTAACAATGTACTTTTATAAATGGAGAATGTACTTCTACATTATGATAGCTTTTAATCGCGCCTAAAGAATGAATAAACTAAAATAATGTTATCAAAATATCTGAGCAAGTTTAAACAACAGTGTTCTAATCGCATGGGACTTGGGACACGGATTAGTCTCACAATTGTTTAGCGCAACGATTTTGGCCATTGAATAAACATTGATTAAGCGCTAAACATTCTGATTATAAATAGTAATTTCTTAATTAGTCATGGAGTTACTGTAACATAATATTTATTAGTGTTATTATGAAGAGCATAATTTACAAACTTTGCTTGCCCTGCTGTAGAAATACATCTGAGAGTTGAAGCACTAGGGTTGCCACTACGTAACTCACCCGTTGTAAACATTATTATAGACTTTAAAATTAAAGTGGATACTTGTATTTAATTAAGAGTGTTTCATAAAGATCCTGAAAACTTTTGACGAATGTTAGAGGTGATCTGTGCCCCTTAACATGTGATGTTGAACATAGTATTAAATGTAGTGTGTCTGTTTGTTTACAGTGGGTGCGGTGAGCGAGCGCGACGCTTACGCGTACGGGTACGGCGGCGGCGGAGGCGGCGCGCACCACTTCGCGGCGCCCGCGCCGCCGCCCCTGCCGCACGACGAGCTGCCCTACTCCGTGTTTGACTTCGGTGACTACCAGCGACATCACCACCACAACAAACTCAAACCTAAGAAGAGGCCGCGTACAGACGCGCCCCCTACACCCGGTGTGAAGCGCAAGTCGCGCGAGGGATCCACCACCTACCTGTGGGAGTTCCTGCTGAAGCTGCTGCAAGACCGCGAGTACTGCCCACGCTTCATCAAGTGGACGAACCGCGAGAAGGGCGTGTTCAAGCTGGTGGACTCGAAGGCGGTGTCGCGGCTGTGGGGGCTGCACAAGAACAAGCCGGACATGAACTACGAGACGATGGGCCGCGCGCTGCGCTACTACTACCAGCGCGGCATCCTCGCCAAGGTGGACGGCCAGCGGCTCGTGTACCAGTTCGTGGACGTGCCCAAGGACATCGTGGAGATCGACTGCTCGCTGGCGTAGAGGGCTCGGGCCCGGTGCTCGTGGCTAGTGGCTGGTGCCAGGACTATGGTCGGTGCGTGAGCGCGGTGTAAAGGAAGCATATTCATTTCGCTCTTACATTAATAGTTTTCACTAATAGTTAAAATTCGTCTATTTTTCAAGTCATCATGCATTACGTTTTTCAGATCGCTTCTATATAATGTTATTAATATAAATATTACTCTCAAATCGAACTAATATTAAATTATCATTGAATTTAATATTTATACAAAAATAGGAGAGACGAAATTGATTGCTCAAATGTTTATATAGGTACCTATTTTTAGGGTATTTCAGAAGAGGAACTAAATTTGCTAGATGTTATATGGGTCGGAGTGATTTTTGTATAATGTTGAAACGAATTTTTAAATGTTTGTAAATGAAGTTTCTATATATTGTATGTTTATGTCGGCCGCGATTCGTCGGCCGGCGGCCGTACGACGGTCGTGCGACAGCCGCACGACAGCCACACGACTACATCTGAACCTCCTACCTCAAACCTCAAAAGTAACAAATGATTCATATGAATATACAATTTACATTGTTCGAAACCATTTACAATACGCAATAAGCATATAATATAGTCTAAATAAGAGTTTATCATAAAGAAATATTTACGTAAAATGTTTATATAACGAAAATATTGTAATATTACCTCCAGAAGAAGTTATCACATTCATTTCTTGGTGCTTATAGGCATTCGCATATTTACACCTTGTTACACGTGACGTCATACTGTCTATATATATATATATATATATATATTATATATCTATATATTGTAAAATATGAACACTCTGTAATTGTCTATTCTAGCTATAATCTGTTTACTTGACATAAGGGTGCGTTTAGACACGCAAGTCTCGATCGAGCTCTCCGGTCCGAACTCACCCTTATCCTCGCATAGTCTATATTAATTGTTTTAGATTTCGAAAGGGAATTAGAAAATTGATATTAAATTTGCAAACTTTTGTATATTAAATGTTTTGACGTAACACTATGCATGTACTGATGAATTTACTGCCAACTCTCATAGAAAAACTGACATAATGAATAGATAAACATAAGGTATGATTTTTGTGCGTTAATTATAAATATATTTTTACTGTAAGTGAGCTGTTTATGTGGACATGTTCTAGTTTATTTTGTTTATTTAAATTATATTAAGCATGTTGCCGGAGGCCGCGCGCCATCTACCCGGCCCGACTACACATATCACTCAGAGACAATTATTTACAATATAGTAAGCTATATTCACACGTTGCATCCTATTTTCTCTGCATATCAGGCCGCTTGTATATTTTCCTATGTCGGACAGCGCTGCGGCCTCCATTTTTTGTTACCTGAATAAATATTATTAATAATTAATTACGATTTGTGGTCCAATGTTAATGAATCATAATACTTTTAACTAGATAGTTGTAAAAGAGCGAATGATTAAGGCGTAGCCTAGTTCACTACGAGATATAGACAGTTATTAACATTTCATTCAATGCAAAGACGAGATCCTTCTATGTATACACTAAATTTGATAATAAATCTTAAATGTACGTAAGTGAAGGAATTGTTAGTCGGCGTCGTAAATAGTATATATGTTGAGCGCACGCCCAGTTCGCCCTGAACTTAGTTTCGTTACTAATAGATACGCGAAATATTTTTATAATTGAAATAAATTATATCAAATTAGAAGTTAGTGCATAAGACTTGTCAAGATAGCGTTTAATAAACGGACTGTGCGTGGGCTCGAGAAACTGTGAGGGTCAGAGCAGCCTTAGGAGAGAGACGGGTCCCGGCGGGACAGGAGTGTACAATGGGTGCTATGACGAGGGACCGACAGGCGGCAGCACGCTCGGGGTAGACTCGCACATACAATAATACATGACTCCAGTCCAACCAGAATACAGGTCTAGAGATATATTTAATAAACCAGTGGGTTAAGTCACTTCATATAAGTGAAAGATCTCAGTATCAAAACTTCTTCGAACAAAACCAGTGGCCGTTTCTTGTGATTTAAATTATATATATATATATACTATAAACAAAATTTTTAATGGTATTTTTATATAGCTAAATGGAATTCTCAGTAACTTTCGTTTCGGCAATACTTCGTATGCTTTTGTAAATATAACTGTAGGATTTAATTTATTTATTTTCGTCTGTAACGCGAGAGGCGTGGCGCCGCCATGCACGCGTCCAATTGTTTCCTTTTTAGGAAATTTCGTTTGGTAGGTTACAAATTTTATTGTAATATATGTTTATTAATAAATTAGTAGGTAATGAATGGACCACGGGATGGAAGATGAACGCTCTCAGAATTTGTAATTCGGCTAGTGTGAGATGCTGATCGACATTGTGAGATACTAGTTACCGGTTAGTAGGCAAAATGTTTGAGCAAGCATTTAAAATGATGCTCCGAGAGTTAAAATAATTTTAGTCGAATCGATGTTGTTGAATTAATAAATCAAAGTTTCTAATTATTAATGTACTTAAATTTTCAATGTAAATTTTAAAGGCACCTCGAAAATTATGGTTAATGAAATTATTTTAAATTGAACCTAGTCTTAGTATCATAATTTGATTTTAAATTAATTAACTTGGGACGCCGTAACGTTATGTGGCGTCGCTAGTAGTCTGTCTGTTGTGACCGCAGACGATTGCACGACAAAATTATTGTAAATAAATCTATGTGTTAATGTAATAATCCAAACGCACACCCTCACGGCCCATACGAGTTATTGGTGTCGCTAGGTAGGTGAAAATTGAGAATATATAGCGCGGAAGCAATGAGAAGGTTAGTGAATTCGGTGATAGAGAGGGGGGCGCTACGGGCGCAGGAGGCGCGGTCATCGAGCGTGTTTTATCCTTTATTACTATTTCAATGTACGTATTCTTGTTCTTTGATAAATTAATGTCCAATATTCGAATACGTAATTCATTCCGGAGAGTGTGGTGTGTAACGTCTGTGTCGACAACGAGTTCCGTATGAACGTATAGAGCTTTGTTTCAGCTACTCGTTACAAGATGTCGCTTTAGTTTTTGCTTTGATCAACATTTTTAACAAAATTGATTTTATTCTGAGAGTTGCGTGCGATACAGTGATTTTGCGTTATAATTGCTTTTAGTTGTATGCAGTTAAAGTCCGATATTTTAATTGTAATTTTAGTTGTTAATTTTACAAAATACTGTATTTTCTGCCCCCTAGTTAAGTTATTTTTCTATGTATAGTTAGTTATAAGTGTAAATGAATTAGCACATAAATTTGATGCATGATGATAATGTTAATAAAATATCCACAATAAAATCACAAACTTGTTTTCTTACCTACACCCCCATGAGAGCTTTAGTTACCAACTACGATGCAATGTACCGAATTTGGGACACCTCACACACGGCGTTCTGATCTCACATTACGCAAAGTCCTGTATGTCGGAGCCAGTCTGTCAGGCTGCTGGGCCAGTCACACTGGCCTGTAAACATACTAATAATTTTCTCAATACCATTTTATAAATAAATCATGCATGATTCCAAAACCCGCTAATGGTGGCTATATTTTTAAGATAGTTTTTCTTATTGTAACTGCAAGGATATTGGATTTAATAAGCGTAAACTGACTCTTGTGGTGATGGATTAACAATACGGAGTGTTCCCAACCCCTGTTCATCTCGTGGGTGTCGTAAGAGTCAACTAACGGAGCAAACCAGGCAGGTCAACAGCACTGCAAAGAGAAGGAAATCTTAAAACAACCCCTATAGCAAACCGTCTGGCCAGCATGTTATAGTAGGCCAAAACTTCCTTTCTAAGGAGAGGCCTATGTGAAGCAGTGGACTATTAAAGGCTGTTGATGATGATGAAGCATAAATTGTACCTCCCCTCATGAATACCTAAATTTTAAGAGACCTTGTGGCTCTTAAGTTCCAGGTTTATTAGCCGTCATCGCCCTCTGAGTGTCCCCTAATCGAGGTGAGGTTATTTGGTCCCCAGCAACCTACTTACTCGGTAAATAGCAGTTTACTGCGAGGCCGTGGTATCACTCCGCTCGAGCCAGCCATTTTAATGCCGAAACATGACTCTCTTGCTGTTCAAAGATGGTCTTGAAGTTTCTGTATAAAATATGTTTTATTTCCAAAAAACACATGTACCTATTTATGTACGTTTATCTATGTTCTAGAACATATATTACAAGTTTTGATGACTGCAATCTGGGGATACTATAATCTTTATCCGTGCTGCTAAGATATTTATTTATTTATTTATTACAAACTATGGAGGATTTATAGCTATGATGATCAGAATAAAAGCAGTCAAGAAAACAGATAGCCAATTACAAATCCTCACGTATATAAATCAGAGATAAGTTACAGTGCACAAGACAATATATGTCAACGTTTTAACATTTATAGTTACGTTATAAATCAACGTAATAAATACTACTTTACTGTTCATCCAAATTCAAACGATCATGATAAAACTTTAAATTTTAGAGAATAACAGGGTATCGTGTATCAAGAAAAACGTACTACTAAAGTTGGTAAAGTTTATTTACGGTGGGCCGGTTCTATAAACCTCCATTCTATGAAGAGGCCTATGTGCAGCAGTGGACTAGTAAAGGCTGTGGATGGATGGATGGTATCATAAAAAGGCTTTTGAAAGCTAAAACCGTCTCGGACGGTTTTACACACTACTACACTACTACACTGTACTACACAGCCTTGTTTTGAACTAAGCAGTTAACGCAAGCAGTTCCTCAAAATACAGGTTTGGACAGAGGCATAGGGTGGTCTAACATAGACGTATGTGAAGTTGCACCAGGGAGCCCCTTTTCTTCTGTTTCCAAGATGCCTGAGACTGAGACGGAACATGCTTTGATGCATGAGTGAAAAAAGAGTGCGAGCAGAATTCATCCTTCAAACAAGACCGCATTGAACAGTTTTTGGAGCTCGTACGGGTTTACCTCCAGCCTTTAGCAGCTTTGTTGTATTGCCATCCTCACCAGGGTATCCAATTAATTAGTCATCTGTATAATGTCTGGGGGCATAGCATTTAAAGGAGCCTCGCGAGGCCCTTTTAAGTGAGAGGCCGTGGGCGAAAGCCCACTTCACCTATGCCAGCTACGCCACTGAGCTTGGAAAGCTATTGGCTTTGGTCTGGTATCCTCTTATACTTTTTTAGAACAACTATAGAAAAGGATAGATAAATAACAAAAAAACAAAGAAAAAAGCACTTAGAGTGTTATAATAACAAATCTAAAACCGGTACATTTAGTGTAATTTTCTAAGAAGAGCCTTTTTTCGGTTTTTATACATCTAGAACATACTTTCTTCTTTTTACTATAGACCATATCCATAAACAATCGAACTGACGTGTTGTTGATATGTCAGTTACATTGACGTGTATTCACAGCTGTCGACTGCAATTTTTGTTTTCGAACTTACCCATAATGAGAAGGAGAAAATTTTAAAAGTTATGTGATAATCTTACTAAAACATACATTTGTATATATGTTTACGTGAGAGACTATTATAATAAATAAAAATGGTTCTAATGACTATGATCGCGAGGGTTGTAGACGGCCTCCCTCTGGCCGCTACTATGCAAGAAGATGAACAGGTAACTTATTGTCTAATGCAAGTTAAATCAACTTTTTAACACTTCCATGCACTTAACTCATCCTAAGAACATTAAATTTATTTTAAACATTTAACCTTATCAGTTTACGTATGCATTCATATTCTGATGAGTTCTCGTCGATATTGTTTTATTTAATTTTGTTATAAATATTTTTATTTTATAATTTAATTTGCCATGGTGGTTCGCAGAGTGGGTGCAATGTTCTGGAGTACCAAAATCAGGCTAAAATGCTGTTTAGAAAATTAGGCCCTCAGTCGCCGACGCGGTGCTCCATCGAAACTGGGCCCTATCTCTTCCAGTGAGTTCTAGCGCTTTTTTGTTTTGAGTTTTTTCCAGCTTTTTAATTTTTGGTATTTTGTTGGCACTATGTCGTTTACTTTATTTCAAGTATGTGATGCAACATTATGTAAATATTGTGGTAACTTGTAGTCATTCCTATATCATACCTATATAATATTAAAGTTATGTTGAATGTACTAGAAAGACTACTTATAATAAGTAAACTCTTTTTAAATGTATATAATTATCATTTTTTAATTTATATGGTTATAAATATAATATATTTATTGTATAAGACTGGTTTAAGCAGTGGCCACACCGTTCCCTACTGTGCTGAGTGTTATGGGATTCATCCCCACATGGGACACCACTTTGTGTTCCACGAATTGTTGTTCTGAGTCTCAGTGTTCTTTGTGTCCGTTTCATGTATGTTTGTAAAGTAGATATATATATATATACATGCCAAATGCGGGAGTCATTTTTAAAAACGAAAAAAAATAAAGAATTTATCTCAAAATATTGAAATAGATAAATATTTACATTTAAAAACATCTGTAGTTTTTAGTGTTAACTCAGTCAATTATTTCAATCTCTATTAATTAATAATTACATTATTATATTCATATACCTGTCCGTGTGGACAGGTATATGAATATAATAATGTATAATAGTGACGGATTAAGTATACGGAATGGGTGTCGTAAGAGCCGACTAAGGGCGCAAAACAACGCAGAACACCAGCACTGCAAAAAGAAGGAAAACTTGACACACACCCTATACCAACCCGTCTGGCCAGCGTGGTATAGTAGGCCCAAAACCTTCTTTCTAAGGAGAGGCCAATTTCCAGCAGTGGACTATTAAAGGCTGTTGATGATGTGATGATGATTCATATACCACTTATCGAAGTTTGGAGCTGTCTTATTAATGGCAATATATGTATTTCTTCAATGACTAACCATTTAAAGTATTACATACATGTATAAAATACAGTATAAAACATTTTGCACTCAATTGATTCTATGTTAACTGTACGTAAGCTTGTACCATGTAATGGTGAAATTTACACAAAAATGTTACAGCTATCTAATTGAACAAGAGATCTGCTACCTAGTGCTGTGTGAGCGGAATTACAGCAAAAGACTCGCCTTCAGCTATTTAGAAGAAATAGCTCAGGAGTTTTATCAACAATACGGGAAGAGGGTGAGATTTGATACTAAATATTCTAGATGATTGTAACATGTAAGCAACATTTTTGGATCAATATTACAAGAATTTAGTGGACTCGTAACGGTTATTATCTGTAGGATCTTTTTATAAAAGTAGTAGTAAATAAAGAATACTATAATTTATGTGATTTATCTGAAAACTGGTGCAATAGGGTGAATATTACATGTTTAGAATTCATTATATGTGATGTTTATTCCTCTGCACTACTCTTCAGCAGAAATATAATTTGACTATTGGTGATTGTCCAGAAGTTATTTTAAGAGATTAGTTCAATTTATAAAAAGTTTTACATTACTAACAATAACTCAGATATAAAAGATATACCAACTTACTTTGTACAATAGATTTTTGATCTACACAAGAAGTAATGTTGCTTTTGTATCATTTAACAACAGTAATTTTTTTTTCTAGATGAAATTGTCACCTGAGTCATATTCTGTATATCTATGTGAAAGTCATTTGTTTCATAGTGCAGCAAATAGACAAGCTTACACCAATGCCTCGCAATCTAAAAAATCCTGATTTGACATTTGTTTCTAAAATTAACGGTTGTGACATTTTCACAACTAAAAAATTGTAAAGTACTAAAAATGTATCATCAACTTAGATGTCTTAATTTTCCACTATTGAGGTGGAATTTTTTATTTAGATTTGAATAGGACCAAATGGGAAGTATACCTATCCAAATAAAATAAAAAATTCTAAATTGGTTTATAAAATAGGTTCTGAGGTGAAAACAACAAAATTTAGAACGACCTCCATTTTTGAAGCAGGTTAAAAAAAATGGTGGTTAATAGGATTTTGCTTCTTAATTTGATTATCTGTGACTCATTCTAACCCCCAAACTATAACTGAGATTATTAAAACAAGAAATGGTTGCGTGTTGTCTTTCAGGTGAACACTGTAACCCGTCCGTACACGTTCATAGAGTTCGACACGTGGATGCAGCGCGTGCGGCGGCAGTACGCGGAGGGGGGCGCCCGCGCGCGCCGAGCTGGCGCCGCCTCGCAGCTCCCCGGCCAGCTCGGGGACGTGCAGCGCATCATGCTGCAGAACATCGACGACGTGTTGCAGCGCGGAGCTATCCTCTCTGGTAACTATGCAGCTGTTATACTAGTGCTATATCTCACCATGGAACATAAAGTTTATTACATACATGATTGTCATCAATATTCAGTAAAACATATCTGCAGCATAAGGATGAGACCCAACGAGCGTATTATTTGCATTGTGAGTACCGTAGAACGAGTTGGATAATTTACATTTCATTTAGTCATACAAAAGTCCCGTTTGTTCCACATGGCGGCGCAAAATGAGTTGTCTGCAGACTCACGCTATTATTTAAACCTAATTGCGCAAAAATTCAATAGCAACGGAAGTTACGTCTGTCTGACAGCCTAACCGAATCTCAGTTGAACGAAATTTGCGCAACAGAAAAAGCTCTAAAGCAAAATAGGCGTAGCTGGAAAATGACGAGAAAAAAGTTTGGGCATTGTCTATGTCTTGTCTTTCTATGACTAAAATTTTTTATTTAGAATTAGTATTTTAAAAAAGGAACTGAAAATACCGGTACATTAAGGTTTCTTTGTACTTGTATTAGTGAAATATATTATGTTAAACAAATGATAATATTTTAAAAATAAAATAAAAATTACGTAGGAACAAACTTAGTGCTTACTATTTTTAAAGCTGTCTTACGTACGCGATACAGCTAATAGATGGCGCGCTAAAAACCATAGAAGCAATACCAAACTAAAAAGCAGATAGTCAATTTGGGTAGTTCAAGTCAAGTTCGGTCAAAATCTCCGTAAAACAGTAAATAAAATGTATAAAGTATGACTAAGACTAGCACATTACTGATTCAATTTTTAGGTTACAATACGATTTAACGCTGAACGTTGGATATTTACCTAATACTTCACTAGGAAAATACCATTTATGTCAGTTGTGAGATCGGATCGGAAATCAATTATGTGATCGGAATTGAATTTTGACCAAACTTTTATTATGAGAATTGGCCTTCAGAAGTGTGTTGTGTGTTCTAATCTGAAAAAAAACTGACCTATCCAGAAAGCTTTCCATATCTGCTATGTCAACTTATTAGTGTAGTTCATTATCACATAGATGGCGCGCTAATGAATGTATACTAAGATTTCAACACCACAATAATAATATTATTGTTACAGAGCTCGACACAAAAACTCAGAACCTGTCGATGCTGACGCAAAAGTACAAGAAGGATGCGACATACCTCAACACCAAGTCAATGCTCGTGAAGGTGACAGCAGGAGCTGTCATACTCTTGGTTGTCGTACTTTATTTCTGGGTACTTTAATGCTCAATGAAGCGCCACTTCTACTCCACGACAACTGTGCACTCTGCGATATCATTTCATATTAAGACAGAAAAATTCTGAATAAACTATTCAGAATTTTTCTTACTGGCTAGAAACATGGTCTTTTTATACTTTTCTCTAAATCTAGTTTTTCTCTATACACTGATTCATTTTGTTTCTTAATTACTATGTTTAGATACGGTATTCATATTAAGGGATTGGCTAAGTGCCAAGGCAGGACACTTAACTCCTAGAAAAAAGGTTGAAACTAGGGCAACCCTAAATAGAGATGTGTAACCAATAAACATTAAAAGGTTGTTTACTTCTAGATCCTTCTCACTATGAACTGTTCCATATGAAAAACACTATTATTTTATAACTATACAAGCCTTGTTGTTATGCAAAGAATTTGATCATTACTTTATTTATAGGAAGTCATCTGATATTGACCGTTAAGTATTGAAAGAAATTTCATAGATTTTTACCAAATTCCTACAAAATTCTTGCCAAAAGTCGACAAACTCTACAATAGGTTATACAACTTTCTTTCACCTTGTACTTGTAAGATTACTGTGCAGCTTCAAAGTTATGATATTGCAGAGTCTCAGTCAGTTCCCAGCTACGTGATAGCTATCCTCTTATAGTGAAACTGCCTCTTGAAACTATATTAGTACACATTTGGGAATATTATTGAATAAGGAAGTCATTGCAAGATTTCATATTTTCTATGTTGTTAACTGCAATAGTTTTATACTAGATAAATAACTTAAGTATTGGCTTTCAACTTTGGTCTGCAATATTAGTTTTAAGACATTTTTGTCCATCTAAATGTACTTCTGGGTTCACCTTTTTGGTTTTAAAGTCTACATCATACAATAGACACAGTAAGAATAAACAATATAATACTAATATAAATGCATTCCAAACAATGTACAGTTTGAGATGTATGTACGAAGAAAATAATATTTTTCAAAACTTATTTAGTGTTTAGATTTGGTTAAATCAAATAATAATAACAGATTATATATTTAATGCTTGCAACACTGTATATTCTCCATAAAGCAGACTCACTCTATGCCCAATATTATTTTTTTATGTAAAAAGCGCGGGAGTGCTTGGTGATGGAATGTTGTAAATTTTATCACATATTGTTAATTAATGTATTTATTTAAGATTAAATAAATATGCATTCTTTTAAAATGGTTTTATTGTTTAAATTTGACAATTGTATTGGGATTCCTAACAAATATTGCTTCTTTACTTAAAGTCTGACACTTTACTCACTCTGAAAGCAGATGTCACAACGTTCCCTTTTTCGACTTGGGTAAGTAGTAATCATTTTTCAGATGGCACAAGGGAAGAAAGCAAAATCACCAGTCTCCCATAAGAAACAAGACTAACATTGCTGTAGCTCGAAGATGAAGTGCTGCATACCAGTGTGTCTGTCTGTCATTTGAGAGGCTAGTAACACATGCCATGACAGTTTCAGAATCAACAAATTCTTTTTTTGTAAGTTATAATCAGCTTGCCGTATTCTCATTGTGTGTTGATGTTCTCTTAGCTAAATGTGCAGAAGTAATGCCCCTTAGTGCATTCATTAGTCTTACAGCGGTTGGTACACATAATACCTGTAAAATCAAATCATAAGAGTACAATAATAAATATTAATTGATATTTTGAAATAATATTTTTCAGACATCTGACACAACACTATTTAGTTTCAAACTAATATGTACATACTTAAACTCCAAAAACAAGTGGTTTGCAGATCACACAAACATTTATTCTAACCCGGGAATCAAACCCGAGACTTCAGAACAGCAGTCGTATATGCCCACCGCTGCACCACCAAGGTAAAAATGTGAGGAAAGTTACAATGTCCAGGCAAAATTATAGTTATTTATCGACATAGATTATTATAATCTTAGCAACCTACCCTTAATAATATTTTCATGTATAAACTAGTAGTAGTACATTTTTAAATACCTGTAAAATTTTAGCGAATATAACGGGCCGATTGTGCCACTGCAGTGAACCAAATATCTGTACAGGGTAAGGAATCACTGTTGATGGTGGTGGCAACTGCAGATAAACCACTGAAATCTGTACGAGAGCTGTCGAATCTACACCTGAAGAATCAAACTAAAATTTAAAATAGCATATTAACGTCTCTGGCCATTCCTTATAATAATATCGTGTTTAAAGTATAAGCAACTCACATCAGTTAAATAATACCGCCCATTTAAGCTTTGAAGTATACCGATAGTTCTGCATCTCACAATTTCGCCCAAATGATTTTCACATTTATCAGAAACATCCTTTAAGTCTACATAAGTATAGAAATCATGCTAAAAAATAAGTAACATATCACGTAGAACATTTTAAATCATTTAAGTAACAATAAAATAAAAAGTAATTCTATAATTTATTTTATTACATGAGGAGTCTCAGCACAAAATGGTATTTCACGATACGAACTATTGTGCATATAAGGCATTTTATTTCTTAATGTAAATCACAGATTATTTAAATAAAATACAATCTATTTGTATCAACTCAACTTTTGGAATGGAACCTACTGTTATTGTTTACATATTTTCAAAACTTTTAAACGTCACAATGAATTCACATTCTTTTTTTAATTTAATGGCTCCATCGGATATCGGTAATTTTGCCAATGTCAGGGTGGGAGTTTTATTTTAATAATGGTAGCACCTCGGTTTTTATCCAGTTAAAATCTAAAGTAATATCGTATCGAATGAATATCAGTTCATAACATAACTAACTAAATAAAAAAAGGATTTCCAATACTTTTTTAGAAATCCAGATACACTTAAGAAAAATGACTCATTTATAATCTTATTTTTTCTCCTACGTTAATCGACTGACGTGCCGTGTGCTTTATGGCGGAGTAGAATTAGGCCAACTCATCTCTTCCCATGGCGTGGGTGTCCCCGGGTGTCGTAAAAGGTGACTAAGGGATTTTTGGACTATTTATCATCAGACAGTAAATACAGTCCGTGTTGTATTTGTCCCGGTGGCCTCCCCAACCGCTGGATATTGGTACATACTGCAGTCCTAGACCTGTCTCCCATCTATGTACTGCAGTACCCCCCCTGTGGCGACTACCACATAGAATGAAACAAAGACACATACTACAGCAGGCAGGCATCTATCAAAGGCACGCTGAACTGCTACTCCTGTAACGTGATATGAAGAATTCTCACATGGATTAGCATTTACACAACTTCCCAACATCAACCATTGGGCCGTGGTGTGCCAGGCATGATCACCTCGCCTAGTCGGAGGATCCTGCCTTTGTGTTGGAGGGACATGACATCTGTTCCTCCAGACCCCCCCCAACCAAACTTTCCCCTCTCATCCAATCCTCCCACCCCAATGTTTCCTTTAAGGAAGGAGATTTTATGGGAGACGATCGGCCATAAAATCAATTAGCCAAAACATTTCTGCCGCATAAGTACGATGCAAAGTGAGTGCGATAGAGCTAGGGCGTAACCCGTAGGCGACGCACGGCAGTAGCACCCGGCTACACGAATATGTGGACAAGGGTTGTTGCAGAGAGTGATTAGGTTGAGGTATGCCATTTGGAATGTTGGGAAGAGCGAGGGAGCTAGCAGATATGTTAAACAGAAGAAGAACAAAGTGGCATAATTGTAATAACAAGCCCCAGGGGGCGGTCCCCAACCCACTGGATCGACCTAGTTAAAGGAATTAAATTATTATATAATTAAAATTGGGATAAGGGTAGGCAGATGATCGACTGACACAGTATGGTATTCTTTTTCTTGGGATATGGGGATCAAACGAGCACAAAGGTAACCTAATGGGAAGTGACCCTGTCCCTCAGTCTCGATCGCCTATGCCCATCGGTCAGTCAGATACATGAGTAGATCACCAACTGTGCAACTCCAACGGAAACCGCAATACAATAACAAATATATCGCAAGAATAACTTTTAAAGTTGTTCGCTGAACACAACCGTTCCGTAGGGAGCCGACCACACGTCTGGGTGAGTCTGAGCACCCTGAGCAGCTCTTCAGCTTTATAATATTAATATATAAGTAGGTATAGATTTCTAAATGTTATGTTATATATAGTACCGTGCAATATTATTATACTCATTTGTATTTGAAAACCCTAAATGTATCACTAAACTGAAAAGATTTTCTATACCTACGACATCACTGGTTAAACGTCAAATTTGTCAAATGTTGTGAAGTTATCAAGTTATTGTGATGCATAATTTTTCCGAATCGCATTGAGCGGGTTGATATTACTCTTAAAACTCCAAAATATTCAAAAGAAAATGTCTTCCCTTGTGGAATTACGGCCTGACCGGCGTCTGTTGGACTACGATTTTGAAGGTTACAAGCTAAATCTCCAAGCTTTGCCACATTACACTTACGATCTGTCTGCTCCGGTAGATAAAGTATATCCTGACGAGATACAGTACTCTTTCATTCACGCAAAGCTCTTTGCCCTTCATAATCACCTGGTACTCGATTACTGGGACTACTCATTTAACTATTACTACATTGATAAACAGCAGCAAGTGCGGTGCATTACATTCGAAAACGGTAGCAAAAAATTCCATAGCAATGTTGTTTACGATGTGCCAGCGCATGAAGAGAGACGATCTGGCCATTTTAACCTGTGCTTAGCATTTCCTTCAACTAACCTGGCTTTGGTGAGCGATGGTACTGGATATTTGCACATAGTTGATACTGGCTCCAGAACACAACCAATTTCAAAATATAAACCTTGGCAAACCCTGGAATCGAGTCTCGTTTTAGGCGAAGGTAAATATTTCACTATTGTCGATGCAAGGCTGTTGGAAAATGACAGCATAGAAACTTTGCATTGCCTTCTTCAATCCGTTGAACAGAATGAGTCCCATTTCAACTCAATACTAACATGGGTCACTTTTGACAATACTGGGCAAGGTTGGAAGCAAACAACTATAAGACAGGTTCAAGGTAAAGGTATTGTTCACTATGCAGCCATAGAAACAAGTTGTACAGCCCTATATATTGCTTCTGACCATATATTTAAGTTCACATCTGATTCTGAAACGGAAATTAAAGAAGAAGTAAAAGATGCACCAAGGACTATAATTTACACATGGTTGCAGACAACTGAAGACATAACTGTAACATTGAAATTAGAATCAAATTTTGATAGGAAACTTCTTATTGTAAGTGTAACCCCGTTGTTAATTAAAGTGAGTTACGCTGGCAAAGTATTTATTGATGGGAGACTAAAACACAAAGTTGACAGTGAATTAACTACATGGAATGTTCAGGAGAATGGTCAGGTTGACATTTTACTCACAAAATCCGAGAGCATGTTGTGGGACGAAATAATAACAGGTGGTGATCGAAACGGTGAGCAGATTATGGATGCTAGTTTGGTGGAAGAGGTACATAGAAGACTGGCACACTTATGTTCAGAAACAGAAGTTACAACTGATCAAACTGTGCCTGGGTTAGCTACGCAGGATCTAGAGGAGTGTGATGCAGCATCAGAAGAAGATACTGTATTAGGTAAGTTACCATTTAATGTAGTAACTTCTGAAAATAAAAAAATATATATTATAAAGATACAGATTAAGGTAGTAAAAGTTAAAAAGACGCTTAATACATTTCTGGATACAGCAAATTTAATGATCTTCTTTATTAGCACAAAGACGGCAGTTATCCTTGTAAAAAATATGTTTTCTCTAACACTAAGTTTTTCTACTAAAAACAAGCTAGTTTAGTGTGAGGGTTTTGATTGGATTTTGGGACTAAATATACTTCTATTGATATTATTAAGTTCCTTTTATGTTATTAATTTCAGTGAGATTGGATGCTGCAACACACAAAGTTACACATAGAGCCCCACTGAGTGTCCATCAATTCCTCTTCAGTATTAGAATAGAAACTCAAGAAGTACCTGTGCTAGCATTACGTCATGATGTAGATGCCTGTATTTGGCAGCCTTACGCACAACTGATTAACTCAGAGACATGGCCTGTTAAACACCAAGGAACTCTAAGTGCGTTTGGCTATGTGCAGTCATCAAAGCAGAACCGTAAATTTGTTACGTGCCCACCAAATTTTTCTTATAGTGTTGTCTGTGAAGCTTCAAAACATATTTTCATATACCAGAGTGGGAGTAACAGTGACTGTCAGCTGAGGAAAAGAACAGGGGGCGCTATGAAGAATGTGAAGGTCGGTCAACAGCATGTATTTAATATTGATAAGTATGGCGAAGTGTTAGGTATAAATGCCACCAATGAATATTTATTTATACTGACAGAAACTAAATTAATAGCTATAGAGATACAGTGAAATAAAAATGTTATTTAAAAATATATTTTTTTATTAATCATTTTTCAGTTTTCTTCCCTTTCTTAATTATTACATCTGTTCATCAGCAGGTATTGATGCTTCAAAGTGGATGATTCATTGGGGATGGGATTCATAATATTATATGATTTTTTTAACCAATTTTGATTTCATTTCAATCTTCAATTTACAATATCATGATGTATTTACACATGATTTAACTAATAATACTGACAAACTGATCTCTGGCTCAATCAGTTATTAATATTATTAGTCCCATCAATCAAGACTATGTTTTATCTTCGTCACTATTACTGTCAGCATCTAAGCTTTCTTCAGATGAATAGCCAGTAGTGAAAAGGAGATTCTTAGGCTTTTTCCTCCTCTCAGCTTTCAACTCTTTCTCAATTTCTAACTTCTTTTCTTTAGCAATTTTCTCTGTTAGCAATTGTCTCGGTCTCTTTCTATAAGAAGTGTGTTCATTGGGCTGTTCTTGTATTGGTAGGCTTTCTTTTGTTGGGGGGCCATTTGACGTAGTTCCATTAGTGACAGATTTTTCTGTTACCTCATTTGAGTGTTTGGCCTTATCCGTATTGAGTTCAGAAGCTTCTTCAGTTTCAAATTCATCTTCTGAAAATAAACATGTACTTGAGTTGAACGCTATTTTCTCTCACTCAACACTAACAAAAAATATAAGTCCATGAGCTTAAGATGTTGGGGTAAACCTAAGGAAATTGTAATTAAAAACAATTTCAGGAAATCAAATCATGTTGAAATATTGTTGGTTAATAATAAAAGTCTCGCCCTCTATAAATCCATACAACCAAATCATGTAATGCTTATACCATGGATCATCGTCTTCCCCCTTTCCACAATCTCCTCTGGGGAAAGGGGAGGCACAATTTGTAAAATTACAATAGGCTTTAGCTAGATTCTTGGGGATGTAACCATTTTCATATAATCCAAAGGAAGATGGACGAAATTGAGGCGGAAGCAAAAAGAAACCAGATGGTAAGAAGTGATACTGCAAGTACCTAATGGGTGTAAATGGGACTAAAACTGTAGTTGCTCAATGAGGCTGGCATCAAATGCCCAAAGATGAATACAGTTAATTCTGGTTTAAAAAAAGAATTGTTAGTACAAGAATTACATAGCTTACAAGCTTACTTATTTTATAAATTTCCTTTCTTATAGTAAACTTAAGTAGTTTACTATTAGAAACTATATAAAAAAAATGTTATTACATGCATAAGAATTTATTAAAGTAATTTACCTGGTGTAATGATTTCAAAGTTGTAAGCATGGTCTTTCAGCACAATGAATATTATTGGGAACTCAACAATGCACTTCCCTGATAAATTCTCAGCTAAAGATTCTTTTGGGTCCAACTCAAAAAACTTTCTTGCAGAACCTTTGACTTTCTCAGCTAAAAATATACAACAAATATTTATTAATATTTAAACATTTGCTTTTTACCATATATCATTATAAATATAGGAATTAATGCGCTCAAAGTGCGGCAACCAGTGATAAAATCATGCTACCTCACTTTCATGCTCTGTTGGAAAAACACCAGAATCACCCACACATCGTCAGTAGTCATGGCAAAATGTATGTGGAGAGAGAAAGAGTCGGGCAATTCAGAGGTATAATGTACCGTATGACTAAATTAATACCTATATTTAGAATAAACATTTATATCAACAGCCATTAATAGTCCACTGCTGGACATAAACCTCTCTTTAAAAAGGAGGTTTTGGCCTACTATACCACGCTGGCCAGATGGGTTGGTATAGGGTTTGTGTCAAGATTTCCTTCTCTCTGCAGTGGTATTGTTCTGCATAGTTTTCCCCCTTAGTCGGCTCTTACGACACCCATGGGATGAATAGGGGTGGTGACACTCTGTATTCTTAATCCGTCACCACACGGCTTTCAAAACACATTTATAAAAACAAAAAAATTACTTATGTTAAAATTTAAAAAGCTTCAATAACGTTATTTACCTCTTAATAAGATTTTGACTCCACTAAATCCAACAGATTTATAATAAGTCAAAGCTTTTGATCCTTCAAATGGAATAGCATCAGGGTTTAAATATTTGTCTAACAGCTCTGATAGTCTCTTCTGTTCTGAACATTTTTCATCAACAAACTTCAGCAGACCTGAGTCGGCGTTTGGAAACAGCCACTCCACTCGCCAATTTATTACATTCGTTTTATAATTATACCGAGTGGTGTTTGTTTTATGTCTTGTAAAGTTTTGAGCTAGAAACTGTAAAACTATACCTCTTTGTCTTGCTGCCATTTTTAGTTTATATAGATGCTGTAAGAACAATGATTAGTAATTTGAATTATGCAACAATGTACAACATGTAATGTTATTATGTTATCTTGACAGAAAAGCAATTGTGGTGTCCAGCCTTAAAAGAAAAAAAATACTACTATACACTATATTTAGACTAGAATCAACTTTATTGTACTGTATATCAAATTAATGACCATGTAGTCATGTCCGTTTATCGCGGCTACTGGCAGCCTTATTGCTGAAAAGCAATTTATTACAGGCTACCTTTAGATTTAATTTAGATTTACTACAAGTAATTTAAAAAAAAGTATTTAATTGGCCTCAGTGTAGTAAATGTAGTGCTTTATGGTTTGTTTACTAAATAAATATATTTATAAACTTAACATACGATCGGTAAATCCTTATCAATCCTTGTATATTTCTTCTTCTCATCTCTTTTGACTCCGTACACAAATCGAGCACATTCTTCAAGCAGTCTGTAATCGCTTAGCAAATCGGTGTCCGTGAAATCTTTAACCCTTATAAACTTTGTGCGATCTCTTATCCCATCGCACTCCAGTTCTTTCTTGTGAATTCTCACACAGGTTAAACAACATGTTTTTACTTCACATTTTGGGCATGTGTATTGAGCTTTCCGCGCACCACAAACCTCGCAGTCGCCCAGTCTGCAACGAAATTCGAGTTTAATACCTTAAATCAGATACGGTAATTACCACATAACCAATAAAGTTCGTTTGTTTACCTGCAAATCTCATGCTTCTCTTCAGGTTCGCTGTCCGACGAAGAAGACATTGATAGTATAGTATCGTCCCGCGCAGTGCTTATTTATAACAAAATATATGTTCTATAAGTAAGAGGAAATATTTTTCTCGTCAATATTTTTAAATTAAAAATTTATCCCGATAGTCTATACTTCCCACTTGCAACCTTGCCATGCAATGTCATGTCAATTATGTCACATATTGACAACTGCAGTCGTTATTATACCAGGGTTGCCAAAGTTAAGTATTCAAAATATAGAATCCACAGATTAAGAGATATGTAATAGTAATAGAATCTACGTAAAACGACGTGTGATATTTTTACGGGCATAGATATTACATTGCATTGTTTGGTATTTTTAGTGAGTTTTTGGTACTTACTGGGCTAATCTATATTATAAAGCTGAAGAGTTTGTTTGATTTAATTGCGCTAAACTTAGGAACTACTGCTTTGAATTGTTTTTTTTAATAGTGGTTAACCCATTTATCCAGGAAAGATATGCCTTATAACATCACGCTACGAACAATAGGAGACGACCATCAATGAAAAATGTTGCAACAATGGGAAAATTTAGTTCCATTTGGAGACAGACGATGATGCGCGAACGATTAATGTCATGTACACAAATATTCGACTTGAGTAAATCAAACCCGCGGCCTTTTGCGTAGTACTCCGTGACCGTTATTCAAACCACTACGCCTTCCGGCATCCAATGTCATAAATTTATAAATTCCCATAAAAAGTTCATTTTCATCGTTGGAATCAATAATAGGTGCGCTTTTACTCTTTATCTGTTTTCAATTTTTATTTTTCTCTTTCGAAAACCAAGAGATTAATGGATTCAATTCTGGGCAATACTGAAATTAAATGTCAACAGTTCAACACAAGCACACACATACCACAAAGGCACAGAGTATATTGTTATTGTTATATACATACACAACCAACTATCAACAGTAACTTGTAACAATTTAACGTAACATTTCAACCTTTTTTTAATAAAGCAAAATATTAGAAAAGCAATGAGTACAACAGAATTGCAAGGGGACGACTGGGACTTACCTTGTTCAGATGATGAAATATCAAAATCTGGTATTTTTATTGGTAAACACTGGATGCCAGAGCCGGCGGAAATTGAGGAACTTTACAAAGCTTTGGATAAAAGTGGAACTCTGCCATTGGAGTGGAAGTGCCCGGGTAGACGACCACCGTCTCCTGTTCCTATTAGCAAGGAAAACCAACCGGAGCTTCCAGCGTCACCAATCAGAGAAGAAAAGTCCGACTTCGATTTCATGGACGAAGTGAATTCATTGCGTTTGCGAGTACGTAGAGAAGGGGAGGATACATTGAGAGGCTCAGCTAAGAAGAAAACTACATCTTTTGATGGTATTTTATCCAATATGATAAGACATAAAAGAATAGAGCAGATGGAGAAACAAGCTAACACATCTCCCTCCACACCATCCTCCAGCGGTAGCTGAAAGAAGCTTAAAATGAAAAACTCTTAGGCATTTTCCATTCCAAGGGTGTTATATTGATTGTATTGAATTGATAAGTAACCAGAATACTTTAATAGAACTATTATTTGATATAGCTCTCGTCATCTAGAGTATTCAAAAGTGTATACATCCTTCGCTTGGTGAAAAGAATCTTTATTTTTAGGTACTCTTTATAATATTTAATATTAACTAAGCAAATAAAAGCCCTTATTTTAGATTTTAAATCTGTAACTAAAAAGTTAACTGTATTAAATTCAATGTATTTAAATATTGGTAATAAAGAATACAGACAGACAGGACATGTGATGGCAAGTGTTTACCACTGTCCATTGACATCTGAATCAATTCAATTCATTTGGTACAACTTAAATGAATATTATTCAAGAAAATAATAATATTTCAATGCATTTTAGAAAATTTGTGACTTCAGTTTCTAAACAGCTCTCTTATCATTCTCATCTTTATTTGGATAGAATTAGTTTTGTCATGCAAGTTTTCAAAATGCCAATTTGTATATTTATAAAATGCTAATAAAAGTATGTTTCATAGTTTTTTTTTAAATATTTAATATTGATATTGTAGTTCGCACTTCTTTAGCAAGTTTCTAACATTGTATATAGAATTTCTCATCACACACACATTAATATATGTATTAAATATTATAATTACTTGGCACTTAATTAATAGTACAAAATGCCTGAAGAATGTTAGATGAACTTAATACGGTGGTCTGCAGGTATAGTAGAAATTATAGTGGACTATAATTCTGCTATGACTATATGAAATCTTTTTTCATCATGTATTTAAGGCAATATTAACAAGTGTGTGTCATATTTAAATAAAAGAAACATATTAGATACATATTACTCTATTATATACACAATCCCCAATTCATTCGGTCATTACTGCATCATGACGGCAGATTCAGGTTTCAACAGTTGCAGATTATCTTCAAGCAACTTGTGACATATTTTCATATTGTTTGTAAGATGCTCCAAGGTCCAATGCTTCCTCAACAAGGCTAGCTCCAGCTCAAACTTTCCTTGTCTTATGCACTGGACTCCAGTACAGTGAGCAGAAGACTTGAGTTGGATGCCCAGATCATGAACTAAAGTCCATAGGTATTTATCATACTCATTGACTGACTGGATTTCTGAAACAATTTTTTTTTAAACAACATTCTTAAATGATGCAAGATATTTATTTCTGTATAAATATCTATAAATCATTTCAGATATTTTCAAAAGTCGGAGTATGTGGATACTAGTATTAGCAGTTCTTTAGTTGCCTTTCATTGAGTGAGGTTACTAGAGGTCCACACCCTCTCTAAATCCTGGGGGTAGGATTCAAAGGGCAGCAACAGACTTGTGAATTGAGTTGCAGGTACCATGGATGGCCATAGTCAAGTGCTGAAGTAGCTGCATTGCAAAATGAACCTTTGTAGTTTTGTTTTAAATATATAGTCATGGGAATAAACTAATCTATTCGCATTAAGAAAATAATGTTGATAATTGCTTGGAACATGTTTGGTCAGGGGCGGGGCTTTGCGGGGATTTTCTTAAAGCGAATGGACTTTAGATTAGAAGTTTGAAGAACCGTCATTTCATTTAACCATGATTAAATCATTGTATGTTTTACATACAGTGATTAAAACTGTAAATATTACCTAATGTAGTTTTAGTAACAATTACCTAATGTAAAATTAGGAGGCTCAAAGGAGACACATTTGATACCATAAACAACAGGCAGTTTGCTCTCAGCAGGCCTTATAAGACCCTTTGATGCCAGTTCATATGTTGTCTGAGATTCCATGTGAAGACCAGATAATCTGTAATCAAATACACATTGTTAATTTATGTAAATTTTTAGAAATTTGTATTGGGTTTTCAAAGGTGTACTTTACAGTACTTCCAAAAAATAAAGTTATTAAAGTCCATTTGTGTTAGGAAAATAGTGATATAGCTATCAAACCTGACCAATAAGAAATTATCATTGAATAGGAAAGTTGAGAACCTGATTGGTTAGGGGCCGGGTCTTGAGTGTTGCGTCACAATTTTCTTATCGCGAATGGACAATAGTAAAAAGAGAGCTAATGAGTACAACAGTAAATAAAAGAAAAAATTAATTATTGGAAAACGTGGGTATTTCTGCTTTTAAGTTCTGGTGATTTTAAAGGTCATAAGATTTTAAGAGTTGAGTTCTGTTTGATGTGTTGCATTATAAGGTAATTTTAGATCCATGTTATAAAAAATTTTAGTAAAGAAAAGTAGTTTCTTAACTACAAATTTTCCAATCACCTAATGGTATGTGGCTACCATCTTTCATGGACACTTGTAGCTAAATAGTCGGAAGTTGCCAGACTTTGAGGTTGGAGTTTGCTTTTTCTTTGTATGAAATTACGTAGAAAAAACGTTTTAATAAAAAATATTGTGCATTTCAAGAACCAAGCATGCCAAAACCTTACCGTTATTATTATTAGCCAAAAATATATTTCTCAAAGTCAAATCACTACTATTACTACATCTATTATGATAATATTAATTAGTCAAGCAGGTACTAACTCAAACATAGTTCTCTGATGAGCAGCCTGTATGTGCGCCACAACGCCATCTATCTTCTCCCTAGTCACATGGTTGTATGTGGTTCTTTCTACAGTCTTGCCATTCCAAAAGTAAGTATTAGTAGCTTTGCCCAACTGGCCATAGACCTTATAAGCTCTTGTGGGTCTACCAGCATGTATTTGATAGGTCAATGTTGTGCCTTCATTTAAACCTAATACTGAAAAATTTAATAACATAAGTTTGTTTTCTTGGTATAGGGTTACAAACAAGCAGATGGGTCACCTGATGACTACTGACCACCATCAGGGCAAGGGATGGTTTGTTCTCTGGTAACCTCACTCACTAGGAGAAAAGCAACAGAACAATTTGAACAAAACAAACGGATCACTCGGGTTGAGCCAGCCCATTTGTAGGTTAAGTTTTTGTGAAGTAACAGCAATGGCGACCATTTTAATGCTACTTGATCATAGGAGAGGTTTTAAATTCAAATAAAGGACTACAGGACCTTCTTGGCACCTGACACCAGACTATGTGATAAATGCCAATACCTAAAGTGTTTTGCATCTAGTATTCTTTGAGGTTGCCATTTGAAATGTTGGATATATTTGGGCAATATACCTCATTTCACTTTCAACCAACCATTTATAACAGTATATCATCTGGTATAGCAAACTTACATAGTACTCCGCTACTAAATAGGCCTAAATGACTAGCTACCCTGCAACGGAAATCATCCTTTATGTACCGTGGACCGCACACAAGAGGATTATCAGCATAATTCGGTACCAACTTTACTTCCATGGGAGCATTTGTTGGTCCTATTATTTCTACTCTCTGCTCTATCGGTCTATCCGGTAAAGCATTCAAATCTGCAAAAAGAATACAATTTCGTATTTATTGATTTTAATCTGCAAAATAATTGTACGTAATCCTTACATAGTATAAAATGCGATGCTATATGAAGAATAACCCACAGTAACCATTTTTATCTATTATACATCACAAAAAAAAGGGTTATTTACGAAGCTATTTTGAACAATACAGTATTATTCCTTTTCCAAATAAATGTACAAATCGTCCCAGGTGGCAGCAAACAGCGGAGCAGGGCTATAAATATTGTATATTAAGATGTCCTGCAGTATGGTCTTATCATAAAAATAGTATGATTAACTACTCCACATCACATTAGTAGTATCTACATTGCACCCGTGCGAAGCCAGGGTGGATCGCTAGTTTAGGAAGAAAGAAGAGAGAGCTAACCTCTGCAAAGATTAGTTCTAATTGTATGTTGAACTTGTTTCACTGATACACATGAAGGTTTATAAACACATATAACTCCATTTAAGCTCTTAAAAGCTAATGCGGCACTCCTAAATTTAACCATGTTTATTTTGTTTGGCAAATTAATTAAAAATTCACATTGTTATTCAATGGAATAGCAGATGGCTTCGTTCGTTTGGCACGTCAAATTAAAACGAAATAAATAATAATTATATTATAGCCATTTAAGTCTGATTGACTATGCATGTTGTAAATATTATAAACCAAAATATTATTTTAGTTAGTATCGCATGTAACAAATAAAATCTAAAATAAAAAGTTGTACTATATCATTCACCAGTTTAACAGTTCTTATAAATTCTTATTTAATGTCAAACTCAATAAGTACGTCATTTAAACCATGTTGCCATACCAAGGAAATATTTCCAAGATGATGGTTATTTTAGCTTCGGAATAAATAGGTATACCCGCAAGCATTTTTATAATTTAAAAATATGTATATACTTGTGTCATGATGGTAATATATTATTACAAAAATAAAATAAGTGACGAGATCTTTACTTAGTTCTCTCATAACGCATACGCAACGCAACGCGTTAACTCGCATAACGTTTTTAATATGGTGAAGTCAACAATTGTGGGAATCGAACCCGCCACCTCCGGTTTAGCAGTCAAGGGCCACTAACCACTAGACCAACAGGCTCGACACAGCCTGAGCCTTCTTACTAAAATAATGACGGTAATCGCCCGCCTTTTGTCTTTAGTCAGATTTGAGGACCTCTGTTTACTTATTATATGTATTTTAATAAGTCAATCGTAAGCAAAAGTAAGTAACAATTTGATATGGATGTTAAGTTCTTCAAGCAGAGGCTTTTACTTTTTAATTATATTTTTTTATTCAAACAAGCACTTACTGGAAGCGATTGTGGTAAACTACCCTGTACTCGTAAGTCTAATATTAAATATAAATTACATTAAGTACATTTTAAGGTGCAATTTAAATGACTAATTAGCTAATTACTGTTTTTGTTGTTTCACTATCGCAGCACCTTACTGTTTACTGCAATTAGTTATCGCAAACATTGTAATTAACGATCATTAAGAACAAGTAGCTTCCCATCAAATTGTGCAAATTTACTTATAACAAAAATGTCAGGTGTTAGTAAATTGTAAAAAATATATTTTAGTAATTTAAGAATGTTAAAGTGAAGTATTCATATGGTATGCCAATATTTAAAGAATTCATCAGTAAATGTGTTTGGTACTACAAATTATAAACCATAAACGTCTTTGGACAAAGGTGGTAGATCCCAGGGGGGCTTCAGAATGAATTCACTTGATGGGTCCTTAGTGATTACTTTACATTGTGTGTTTTCGTTTTTAAAAGACACTGAACTGCATTCTTAATTACATGTATTACTAAGTTATTTTGAAACTTCTTCGTAATTAAGTACCTGATCAAAGTTAAATACTTTTGTGATATTGGTCCTAGCGCAATAATGATAGGAAGGTACGTAATGTACCTAGTGGATGTCGGACCGTAATGAATTTCCATGACAGACACTTAACATGTCCTTCTATACTTTATTTTAAGTAGGTGTAGTTTGGTAATTACAATCAACTCAAGATATAGACGTCAAAGTTAAGAGATAGAGGAAAAATAAATAAGAGGAAGAGGAGGCAACATTAATGAGCGATATCTTTATTGTAAGGTAAGCATGTTATTGATAGACCATTGAATACGAGTTGAAACCAATATTAAGTAAAGTAATTGGTGTCGGTTGTGTCAACAGCTTATAACTTGAGTTCTTCTCAGATTTTTTTCCAACTTATAGTAGAAATGCAAATATTAATTCTAGCAAGGAAAAGGAAAGTCAGCAAGGGCCAGGCTGGTACCGATGACGACAATTTAGTTTAGTCTGTGGCATCGTGCAATGGCCGTTTGATAGAGAACAATATTTGTTGGCTAATCACGATAGACTGCATCCGTGTACGATTTGGTTGTGTTCAATATGAAATCATATCTTCCTTCGAGCATTGTATAATGTGGTGCCAGTTTAGTGTTTAATTTTTTTACAGTTTTGAAGTTGTGGAACATAATTTTTGTGTAGGCGTTATATGCATACCATCAAACTCTGTCGGTTTAATTCGTGAGAAACTTATTGGTAAGTTATATTTATCTCAAACTGTTAGACAAATCTTATTATTGTCTTGGAGAGTTCTATAGAGTGATGACACGCTCATGTCGCTTGAAGACTGTCGTGTCACAGCTAGATTATTACTGTTTTTCCACTGATCTCTGTATGGGAATGTACTTGCATTGTACCAATTCATTGCGTGTATCGTTGCTGTTTACTTCCTAATATATTAGAACTTTCTGTTTACATACTACACAGTGTATTGCCAAGCCAGAAAACTCTGTTTTTTTTTTTAATATTTGCAAATTGTTGTTTGAATTAAGTTTTTAATTTCTTGTTTGGAAACAAATATTTAAATCTACTAAGCATTAGTTACTTATGTATTAAATTATGCATTTTTTTGCCTCGAATGAGCTATCTGAGTTTGATCTTGTTTATACGCTACATCACAAATAGTCAAGAAAATATTTTTATTGTTCCATTACTTACTGAATAGAATACACATTGTATATATGGTGGGGGTAAATATATGCAACATACAGTAAAAACAGCATAGCAACAGCAATTTTTTTAAATAAATAATAATTTCACTATGTCAGTTATACATTCTAATAAGAACTTTCTTTATTAGAAGTTTTTAATGAGAAAAAGTTTTTTCCTTTCAAATCACAAAAAAGAAAACAAAATAAAGAAGAATAAAGAAATATTTCCAATAATGAATTACTATAGTTTTATAAAACAACAAATATTGTTTTAAATCTAAATTAATTTAATGTGTAACATACACATTAAATTAATTTAGATGTTATTACAAATTTAGATGTACATGACATTATAATAGACACACTATCTTTTAGGAAATTAGACTACTAAAGTAAATAAATATCAATATTATTATTAAAATATAAAAACGGTAAACGGTCTGAATCTGTCTCGAACTTCACAGTCACTGACTGACTTTTTTATTACAAATAATTAAATATTTTTAGTAATTGACGCATTAGGCATCAAGATAGAAAAGCAATGCTATAAAAACTAAAATAAATAATTCCTATATTATAGTTAAAAAACTTAATTTGTTAATAAATTGTTTTTTGGTACATCTAGTATAATATGTGCCTCCTAAACTGTGTCAATGGGTGTTGAATTAGTCAACATATTTATTTATTTGCTTCCACTGATTGTTGAGAAAATCAATATTTATCATGGAAAATATTCTATTCTATTAGCTGTTAACACTAATAAATGAAAGATAATAAAACTCTTTATTGTCAATCAATAAACAATACCTGTATATAAATAGTACATAAAAAAATAAATTACATAAAAAAAAATGACCATAGATTTTTATATCTGCATTTCTTATTGGTTTTACCCTTTTGTAGACACATGTTTTAAATGTTATACAAACACATCTGTGTTGCTAAGTCCTGATGTTATGCAAAATTCACCTTTCAAGAAATGCGTGCGTGTGCGCGACGGCGGTGTCACTGACACGAGCGTAGTTAACAAAAAACTAAACGGAATACAACTACATTTAGTGTGACTGTTTTATAGAAAAATAAATTACACCAAATTTAAATACTGTGTACACTCCAACGATTAAACACGGAGTAATTACCATAACTAAGTGAAGTAAAACCGACTTCGTAATGTCAACTTAAATTTAAAAAACACACGTTTAGTAGTTGCTTGTCGTTTTAGCCGTTTGTAGTACTTGTCTTGACTTTGCGAGGTTAGCCGATATTTAATATTATAACCGATATTTAATATAATGCCGATATTTTAAAAAATCATTTTACAAGGTAAACAAATAAGCATTACTCAGTATGCGGCTAGAGCAGGCCATTTTTTTTTACGTAAAACGAATGCAATCTGAAATGCCATTGCCATTGAAAAACTGGTGAGAAATATGAATTCTTGGATGCTTATAGCTTTTAGATGACGTTTCGCGGCTAAACTAGATAGCTAAATTGATTGAGCCGGAACGAATCAAATTTCCTAGTGCTAAACCAGTGCGTCGAGGCGTCGGCGTCGCAACGTTCTAAATTATTGGCATTACCGGTGGTGGGTGGACGGCTCTACGGGTAATTAAAAATACTTGCTTAATTGCAAAACAAATTACAAAATACTTGTCTTTAATAGTCTGTTGTCAGTTATATTCTGAGGGTTCCGAAGTACGAAGAAAGATCGATGTTTACAAGATAGCATTTAGTTTCGAATTCATAAGAATTAAAAGAAAATTTAAAGAAATTAAGTATAGATTTAGGAAATTATATATTGAGTTTCCCTTTTTACACTAAATCATGGCACTTAAAGGGCGTCGACGCACTTTTCTCTTAAGTTGCAAAATATTAATGGCAGGCGGTAGTCACTTTCCATCGGTTCAAATTCAAACTCAAAATATCACTCAAACTTAATTTATAAAAAAATGAAATGATTGAAATCGTCTCTTATAATAGACTCCAAAGTCACAGTCAACAATAACTGTTTTGTCAAATATTTAACAAAATAAATAATATACCCGGTTAACCCGGTTTCCTCGTTTACTACTTATCATAAAAGAAGTAACACTCAATGTAGGTAAGTTCATATATCATATTCTCTTAAAAATATCCATTTACACCATTACTCAAAGATAAAATGTCACAAACGTAAATATCGCGTAGGTAATAGGTAAAGATAAATAAAATTATGCAATTTTGGAGACAGCATACTATATAAATGTTTACGTAGGCACCTTTGATCTTTGTGTTATAAACTGCTGACAAAAAATGTTTTAAGCAATTTTCTACTTTATGATGTGATTGTAATGGGACACTAATTACCTCGTGTTTTAAAGTTGTTTCTGTTATTGTGTCTCGAATGGTCTCAACAACAACAATCTTATATAATTCACCTTATTATGTGTCGTGTTTATTTATAATTAACGGTACTTATATACTTAGAAAAACAACTTACCTTAATTTGTCGCCCCAATCTTGCTGTTGAAGTGTTTGCATTAAGTGAAATGAGTTTGTCAACTTAATTCGCCGGTTAAGAGCTTTTTAACGACCGGACAAATGAACTTGATATTAGACTTACAATGTCGAATGACGATGTATGGCCATTGTAATGTACATGTGTTTTCCCGTACTGCGATTTTTAGCACGAGTCGGAATTTCCTATTATTAAAACAGTTCTATTTTTATAACAATGGTTATAAGTGGTTTAAGGCTTATTAGAACACAATAAATCTTTATAATCTATACAAATAAATAAAATGAAGTGTCTGTTTGTAATGTCAAAATAATAGGTTTTTTCATGCTCACACGGTTATTTGCACGATACCTATGCCTAAAAACCGGTTTAAATATTTTTTGTGTCTGTCTGTCTTCAAAACGGCTGGACCGATTTTGAAAATATTTTACTACCAGGCTATAAAATTTTGCCCGGTCCTGGAATCGAACCCACTAAGGTAGCGCTTTTCAAATTGGGCACCAGAGGGAAGAGTTTTTTAGGTTTGAACGCGTCAGTTTCTTGAAGCCAGACTTTATTTTAATGTCGTGGGTTTGAATCCTTCCCGAGTTTAATATGATTGTGTGATGAGCACGATAATTGTTCTGAGTCAGGGTGTAATTTATCTAGTAAAATATGTATTGTATAACAGTACAGGGGCTGCCTAACATAGTTTGGGATCAGGCGGCCGTGTATGACATGTGTCAAGTTATTATTGTGATCAGTATTATTTCTAGCCAGATAAAAAAAAAAGAGTTCGACCGGAGTGATACGACGGCCTCACAGAAAACCGGTGTTAAGCAATTCTTTCGTTGCCTTTCATTGAGTGAGTGAGGTTACCGGAGCCCAAATCCCCCCTCCCGCTGACTCGAGCGGGAGGGACTCCAAGGGCAGCAACACACTTTTGAGTTGCAGTTGACCATGGGCGGCGGTAGTTGCTTAGCGTCGGGTGACCCGTCTGTTCGCCTTTATACCATAAAAATAATAATTTGATAGTCCAACGCTTAAACGTTTTAGGGTTTTTAACATCACGCTACGACCCTAACAAGCGGAGTAGTGCCTATAGGCGCAGGTGAAACTACGAGGAACGGCTAGCTTGTAAATAATTAGTGGTATCCTCGTTTTGTATCCAGACGCTGTTCACGCAACACGTATACAATCATTGGCTCACTAGTTAGGGGGCGTCCATTAATTACGTGAGGGGTTTTCGGGGATTTTCTGACCCCCCCTGGTGAGATGTCGTAAGATTTGACTCCACCCCCTCCCCTATCCCTTAACCTCACGTGAGATTTTTAAAAATGTGTTTATAGTGTAAAGGCGAATTTATTATAAAAAATAATAATTGCTTAGTATTTTTATTTGAGACTAGCATTTAGGATTACTTCGAAAGTAGGCTAGAATCTATAGTAGTCCAGACCTTTCTCACCGTCGCTTCTCTGTGGAGCTGTTCGATCTCATGCTGAACGTGCTGAACCAAGTCTTCCTTTTATGCCTTCCATAACTTTATCACGTCTTTCTGAAAACACTTCTTCGTCTTATAGACGTGGCTTTTGACGCATGCATTATAATAATCATGGTACCTCATTTTAAATGCGTGATAGCGTAGGCACGTAAATAAAAGTCAGGCTACTGTGCAACTTCGCGGCACTCGCAAAACCATCATAAACGTTATTGTATGAGATTTTCCTGCCATATTTCCGTGAACATGTTTTACTTATTTTAAATTAGTTTTCTCGCAATTTTACTCTGTTTCTTGCGGATAAAAATTACGTGATATTTGCCGAGATCCCCTCTCCCCAAAGTAAGATTAGATGAGATTCGGCTCGATCCCCTTCTCCCCCCTGAACGCCTAACGTAATTAATATTAATAATAATATTCTACCACATACACACAACGCCATCTAGTCCCAAACTAAGCAGAGCTTGTACTATGGGTACTAGACAACTGATATAAATACATATATACTTTTTTTTTTTTTGTAAATACATACATATTATACATAGAAACACCCAGACCAAATCAAACATCA